GCTTCTTACAAATAGTATGCACTGCTGCTGCCGAGTGTTGATGGTGGAGGGAATGAATGTTTGTTCATGTGGTGCCAATCAAGTGGGCTGCTTTGTCCTGGATGGTGTCAAGCTTCTTGAGTGTTGTTGGGGCTGCACTCATCCAGGCAAGTGGGGAGTATTCCATCCCACTCCTGACTTGTGCCTTGCAGATGGTGGACAGGCTTTGGGGAGTCAGGAGGTGAGTTACTCACTCCAAGATTCTAACCTCTCTCCTGCTGTTGTAGCCACTGTGCTTATGTGGTGAATCCAGTTGAGTTTCTGGTCACTGGTAACACTAAGGATGTTGATAGTGGGAGATTCAGCCATGGTACCACCATTAAATGTCAAGGGACGGTGGTTAGATTGTCTCTTATTGGTGATGGTCATAGCCTGGCATTTGTGTGGCGTGAATGCCACTTGCGACTTGTCAGCCCAAGCTTGGATATTGTCCAGATCTTGTTTCATGTGAACATGGACTGCTTCAGTATCTGAGGAGTCACAAATGGTGCTGAACATTGTGCAATCATCGGCAAACATCCCCAATTCTGACCTTATGATGGAGGGAAGGTCATTGGTGAAGCAGCTGAAGATGGTTGGGCCTAGGACACTACCCTGAGGAACTCCTGCAGAGATGGCCTGGAGCTGAGATGACTAACCTCCAACAACCACAACCATCTTCCTATGTGTCAGGTATGACTCCAACCACCGGAGTGTTTGCCCCCGATACCCATTGATTCCAGTTTTTCTCGGGCTCCTTGATGTCACACTGGGTCAAATGCAGCCTTGATATCAAGGGCTGTCACTCTCAGCTCACCTCTGGAATTCAGCTCTTTTGTCCATGTTTGAACCGAGGCTGTAATGAGGTCAGGAGCTGAGTGGCCCTGGGAGAACCCAAACTGGGCATCACTCAGCAGGTTATTGCTGAGCACGTGGTGCTGTTGGTGACACCTTCCATCACTTTACTGATGATCGAGAGGAGACCGATGGGGCGGTAATTGGCCCGGTTGGATTTGTCCTGCTTTTTGTGTACAGGGCATATTTGGGCATTTTTCCACATTGTCGGGTAGATACCAGTGTTGTAACTGTACTGGAACAGCTTGGCTAGGGGAGGGGCAAGTTCTGAAGCACAAGTCTTCAGTACTATTGCTGGAATGTTGTCAGGGCCCACAGCCTTTGCAGTATCCAGTGTCTCCAACCGTTTCTTGATATCACGTGGAGTGCATCGAATTGGCTGAAGACTGGTATCTGTAATGCTGGGGATTACTGGAGGAGGCCGAGATGGATCATCCACTCGGCACTTCTGGCTGAAGATTGCTGCAAATGCTTCAGCCTTATCTTTTGCACTGATGTACCGGGCTCTTCCATCATTGAGGATGGGGATATTTGTGGAGCCTCCTCCTCCAGTGAGTTTTGTTTAATTGCCCACCACCATTCACAACTGATGTGGCAGGACTGCAGAGCTGAGATCTGTTTCATTGGTTGTAGTTTCTGGTCCTGTGACCCTTCCTCAGAACTCGGGTTAACTGATTTCTTTCTCTTCACAGATGCTGCCAGACCTGCTGAGCTTTTCCAGCAACTTCTGTTTTTGTTCCTGATTTACAGCATCCGCAGTTCTTTCGGTTTTCCGTTTATATCGAGGGTCTGTTAAGTTTGGAGATCATCTGGTAGCCTTAGTGGGAAAGTAAATAGTTTCCTTTTATAGTTCCAAAATATGTTTTTGTTGTTGCAAATAGATTGAAACTGTCATTCGGAATGTAAAATGGAAAGTCGAAAGTGAGCTATTTCGGACTTGTATTTATTTTCTGATCGTTTATGAACAAAGCATCTGTTTGAAATAGATTTTTAAAAGAGAAACGGGAAAGAAACATGTCCTGTTTCAAAGTCTCACCCTTCCAAACAAATCTCACGATCATGTGAAATTTTATCACAGCGGAACGTATTAAGCCTGCTGCCCCAGAGCGAAACGCCATTTTTATGTCTAGCATCCCACCCTCCCCAAAAATAAATAGAGAAACCAGCCTCACCACAGCGATAGGAAAACATGTTTCAGCCATATTCGCCGGGAGTGTTGTTGAGACGGGGCTATCTGTAAAGGATCATGCTCGGGTAAGTTTCACCTCGGCCGGAATTCCTCACTGAAATTGACCAATGAAACGGATATAATGTGTTGCTGGCCACACTGTGAACTGGGATAACATCTCAGTTATCCCATTATCCCAGTAGTAGCACAGGGATTGTGTTCCCTTTTACTGGGTGCTGGATCTTACCCAGAAATCGTGAATGTTACAATCGGGGAGACTTTTAAACTGAGAGACAAATATTTCTGACTCTTCCGGAACTTTACGACCTGATCTCTCTCCCTCTCTCTAACCAAACCCCCAGTTTTGTGTTGGAGGAGTTAGCCATAATTATGAATTTTTTTTTTTACATTTGTGTTTCAGAGTGGATTTTATGTTATACCTCATATCATCCGTAGAATTTGACCCCCACCCAAACGCTCTATTGAAGAGTTTAAAACTTACATCCGTTTTCAGCTCTTCAGCTTCAGAAGGCCTCATTCCTGCCTCTTTTCCCTCGAGACTCGATTCCCAGGCACTGCCCTCTGATTCCTTCCACTCTACCCTCTGTAAATTGAAATCGACCCAAAACCATGCCCCCACTCCCCCTCCTCCCCGTGCTGGCTCAGATATACAGACTCCTGTTTGAACAAAGACTCCATTATAAAATAAAATCCCATCTCTGTCTTCACATCCTGCTGAGGCCTTGCCTCCTTTCAGTGTGTGCTGTAAATCAGCTTCTCCCTTCCCTTCACCAGTAGTAGTCATGCAGTCCTCAGTTGCCAGGACCCTATGATTTGGTGAAGGCTTTCTCCCCCTTTCCTTTTTAACAGGCTTCATAGAACTGTCCATCCTTTAGGTCATCCACCCCAATTTTGTCTGGTGGTGCACCCATGAACTACATTAATGTCTTATTAGCTTAAAGATTTTTTTTTTACAAACATAATATATTTTATGATTGTTGATATTTAGAACATACAGCGGTTGGAATCTGGAACTCACCACCTGTAAGGGTAGTAGAGGCAGGAGCCCTCAGAACATTAAAGTTGATGTGCACTTGTGATGCCAGTGCATACAAGGCCTATGAGTCCTTACCTGGTCTGGCCAACATGCGACTCCAGACCCACCACAATGTGGTTGACTCTTAACTGCCCTCTTGGCAATTAGGGATGGGCCATGAATGCTGACCCAGTCAGCGATGCTCTCATCCCGTGAAGGAATAAACAGTAAAAAACAGTGCTGGAGAATGGGATGAGAATAGTCAGGTAGTTGTTTTTGACCAGCACACAATCGATCGGCCGATGGGTCTTTTTCTGTGCTGGAGACCTTTATGGCAACAGAGGAACTGCCTATTCTACCCAAGTGACCCATGCTGGTGTTTACACTGCACACAGTGTGTCCAAACATTATGGATTTTCTCTCTTTTCTGTCCTGAGAGTGAGTTTTCTGGCTCACCATTTGTCACTCCCTCAGTGCTGACCCTCTGACAGTGTGGTGCTCCCTCAGTACTGACCCTCTAACAGTGCGGCACTCCCTCAGTACTGACCCTCTGACAGTGCGGCACTCCCTCAGTACTGACCCTCTGACAGTACGGCACTCCCTCAGTACTGACCCTCCAACAGTGCGGCTCTCCCTCAGTACTGACCCTCCGACAGTGCGGCACTCCCTCAGTACTGACCCTCTGACAGTGCAGCACTCCCTCAGTACTGACCTTCCGACAGTGCGGCCCTCCCTCAGTGCTGACCCTCCGACAGTCCGGCACTCCTTCAGCACTGACCCTCTGACAGTGTGGCACTCCCTCAGTAGTGACCCTCTGACAGTGTGGCGCTCCCTCAGCACTGACCCTCTGACAATGCGGCACTCCCTCAGTAGTGACCTTCTGACAGTGCGGTCCTCCCTCAGTCCTTTTGGACAGTGGAGTGCTTTCTTATCACTTTCTCTCTGACAGCACATCTGCGTCACTAAACAGCCATACAGCCCCAAAAAAGACTCTACAGTCCAACCAGTCCATGCCAAACATAATCCCAAATTAAACTACTCCCACCTGCCTGCTGCTGGCCCATATCCCTCCAAACCTTTCCTATTCATGTACTTATCCAAATGTCTTTTAAATGTAGTAACTGTTCCCATATCCACCACTTTCTCAAGAAATTCATTCCTCATGCGAACCACCCTCTGTGTAAAGAATTTGCCCCCATGTCGTTTTTAAATCTCCCTCCTCTCACCTTGAAAATGTGCCCCTAGTCTTGAAATCCCCCTTCCGAGGGAAAAGACACCGACCAAAAGACACCCCTCATTATTTTATAAACTTCTACAAGGTTGCCTCTCAACCTCCAATGAAAAAAAAGTCCCAGCCTATCCAGTCTTTCTTTATAACTCAAACTCTCCATTCCTGGTAAATCTCTTCTGAATTCTCTCCGGCTAAATAATATTCTTCCTGTAACGCACTGTCAGAGGGTCAGGACTGTAACAGGGCAACCAGAACTGGGCACAGTTTATCCAGAAGAGGCCTCACCAATGTTCTGTACCATCTCAACATGACGTCCCAACTCCTCTACTCAAATGTCTGAGCAATGAAGGCAAGTGTGCGAAAGACATTCTTAACCAACATGAAGTCATGCAATTGTGTGATTTTGCTACAATTTAGAAATTATTTGCCCCGGTGACAGATCACACAGTAATTGAAATCTTTTAATTTGCTCTTTGGTGAATTCATCTGAAATCAGTGCTGTGTTTTTGAATTAATATCGCTGTGGATATGGGAGACAGCTGGGGCAGGTGGGACTTGAACTCGGAGGTAGAATCCAGAGGTGGGGACTCCACCACAAGAGCCTTACTCAATATTACAAAACAGTGCAACTCGAGTCTGAAATATTTCTTACAGCTTTGAAAGAAATGCTACTGTCAATGTTTTCGCAACTGGTTTTGCTGTCCATCCTGTGAAAGATGTCATGGAGATCTTTAATTCCTCTTCTTCTCATCCTGCGATCTTCAGTCGATGGTAAGTGGCAAAATATCTAACTGCGGCAGGGTCTTTCCTATTAAATAATTTACCCAATTATCCCTAACCCCAGCCCCTTGCTATTTTCCTGCAGCCTTGAATTTCATTTTTTTCCTTTCCAAATGTTTATCTCATTGCCTTTTGCGAGGTAGTGCAACATCTGCTCTCACTATGGCTCGAGGGAGCACGTTCCAGATCTCACAACTTAATCGTTTGTCTTTTTTTCACTTTGTCATCTCTGGTTATTTTATCAAATCGGCTAGACCATTAAAAGCCCTCCCTGACCTTTGCCCTTCCTGCACTTGCCCTTTCGGGGAGACCCATGGGTTTTGTGTCACTCAAACATTGACCGACTGGGCCTCCTCTTGGATGCTCTGTGCTCAGTGGCGACACTGCTGAGGTGGATGTTGCCGGTACTGCGGCCTCTGATGGAGGAACGTGTCTCCCTGAGCAACACTTGGGAGGTGGCATCATGGGAGCGGCAGGAGAGTGGGGCCGGATGGGGTGCAGTCGGGGATTATCGGCAGCAACAGCAGAGAATGGATATCAGCAGCCACAAAGTCTGGGTTCAAATCCCGCCGTGGAAGCTGGTAGTTTGAATTCAACAATAAATCTGGATTTAAGAGTCTAATGTCCTTTTCGGGGAAGGCAATCTGCCGTCCTTACCCGGTCTGGCCGACACGTGACTCCAGACCCACGGCAACATGGCTGACTCTCAGCTGCCCTCTGGGGTGGGCAATAAACGTGGCCTATGTCCCATGAATGAATTAAACCATGCCTCCTGATGCCAATCATGGATTTTGGATGAAGGACCCCCAGCTTCCTCGGAAACCCAAGAGCAGACGTGCCAGTGTTTTGCTTGTTGTGATGCTCCCACCAGGGAAGTGCCCCCCTACCCGCTGTTGGGTTTCCTGACAACAGCAGTGCGCTGGGTCCCTTGAGTCGGCATTGATCATCGTGACTGGCCAATGAGATCAGGAGGGCACCAGATTCCATCCAATGCTGTGCCATCTCTTAACATCCACCCGAGTGAACAGGTCAAGGCACCTCCCTCTGAAAGGCCACTCTATCCACAGCGCTGTCTGTTTCCCAGCCTTCTGATTCCCAAACCCAGGAAAGGCACCAACTGAATGGCAGCCGGCACTGATCCTCCCTCTGGGACGGGAGGGACATTGTTTTTATATTACAGTCATACGGCGCGGAAACAGACCCTTCGGCCCAACCCGTCCATATTGACCAGACTTCTGAAACAGAACTGGTCCCATTTGCTTGTTTTTTTGGCCCATATCCCTCTAAACCTTTCCTATCCATGTACCTGTCCAAACGGCTTTTTAATGTTGGAATTGTACCAGACCCTGCCACCTCATATGGCAGCTCATTCCAGACACACACTGCCCTGAGTGTCTAAAAAGTTTCCCCTCAGCTCTCTTTTAAATCTTTCCCCTCTCACCTTAAACCCATGCCCTCTGGTTTTGGACTCCCCTACTCTGGGGAAAAGATCTTGGTTATTCACCTTATCCATGGCCTTCATAATTTTATAAAATCTATATAAGGTGACCCCTCAGCCTCTGATGCTCCAGAGAAAATAGCCACAGCACCTCCTTTTAACTCAAACCTTCCAACCTTGTGAATCCTTTTTCCAGTTTAATAACATCCTTCTGGGAAAAAAAAGTCATAAATGTCTTTGATCGTTTCTAGGGAAGTTTATAGTTACAACTTCAAAAGAGCCGATCGTTGTCACAGTCGGCCAGGATGTTGTTCTGGAATGTCAGCTGATCCCAGCGGAAGCTCCTGAGGAAATGGAAGTGCGGTGGTTCCGAAAAGACTGGAACAACGTTGTCCATATGTACTGGAAGGGAAAGGATGATCCTAAGTTACAAATGAAGGATTATTCTGGGAGAACAGCACTGTTCCACGAGCACTTTGCCAATGGCAATACCTCCCTCCTGTTGAAGAACATTTCTGTGAAAGACAATGGCACCTTCAGATGTTTTGTCATCTCCAAAGCTGAGGACGCTGAGGGATCGGTTGAACTGAAAGTTGGAAGTGAGTGATGTTTTCTGTTTGTGACATAGAGGCTGGGCCTTTATCTGTTTCCCTTCATTAAGAGGAGGTGGTGGGTGGAGAGAGGGCGATTCAACATGCTGGTTCTGTTATCCTGACCCAGTCATGTGCTCTGGGTTGCTGAGGGGACAAGGGCCCAGGTAACAAGCTCACACTTGGCTCTCCGGTCCTTGTCTCACCCACTGTGGGTTTTGACCGGAAAGATGAAAGGGTCTTGCATTCTCGGGCGAGCAGAACCATATGTTAAATCGATTCTCAGTTGGTTGATCCTGGGGCTGTGTTTTCGAAAGGGAGAGTGACTGTTAAATTGACTGATGTGTCCGAGACATCTGCTGAATGGGATTTAAAGGGCTCGATGTTTTCAGCTCTGGAGCCTTTGTTGACACAGTTCTGCAGTGACATCCCATCATGAATATGTGGTTGAGAACCCACAATACATTTGACTCTGGAGTAGGTTCACACTGTGAAATGGAATTAAGCTTCATTCAGCTGGAAAACAGGAGCTGGCAGGAGAATTATATTCAGGAGGGTTTTTAAAAACCTCTTTACTTTGCTATGTTTTTATTTGAGAATTTCCAAGACCTTCCAGTGTTCTTTAAGGGCCCCTGGACTCTGCCCTTCATGAACAAGCCTGGTGGAGGAGTGGGGGAATACAGGGGGCACCCAGAGGTTTCGAAAATGAAAATCCGGGCCTTGGTGGTTTCTAGTTTTGTGTGGTCTCCGTTTCCAAACAATGTAACATTGTAAATGATGCAGATAACTACCTTCACAGGGAAGTGAGATCAGGCCCCCATTCACCCTGACCTTGGTGGGTGAGACATTGTTTGTTTTCATTACGCTGTGAACTGTAATTGAGTTTTCACACAAATCAAAGAGAACAGTAGGAATTTCCAGCTTGTTTCTCCCCGATTCCCCCCACCCCAACCCCAACCCCACCCCAAAACAGAAGGCCAGGGATCGTGGGCCTGATTTAATTTTTTCAAGGAGTATAATTCAAACTTTTTATTCATGTTTAGAAATATTGCAAGAGTTGAGGTGCAGGTTGACTTTGACTTTGATTTGAGAATGGTGGGAACAGGTTTGAGGGGAATAAGATTTTAACCTTAGAAATGGTGGAAAAGCCAAGGGATTAGCAACCCAGGCTAATCTTCTGGGGATAGTAGGAACTGCCGATGCTGGAGACTGAGATAACAAGGTGTGGAGTTGGATGAACACAGCAGGCCAGGCAGCATCAGAGGAGCAGGAAGGCTGACGTTTCGGGTCTGGACCCTTCTTCAGAAATTTCTTCATTTGTTCATCCAGCTCCACACCTTGTTATCTAATCTGCTGGGGATCTGTGTTCAAATCCCACCGTGGCTTCAGGTGCAATTTAAATTCTTATCAATAAATCAGAACATGAAACTAATCTTGGTGACCATGGTGACTATTAGAATCATAGAATCCATACAGTGTGGAAGCAGGTCATTCGGCCCGTCGAGTCCACACCGACCCTCTGAAGAGCATCCCACCCAGACTCACCTCATCCCTGTAACCTGCATTTCCCACGGCTAACCCACACATCCCTGGACACTATAGCATGGCTAATCCGCCCTAGCCTGCATATCTTTGTGACTGTGGGAGGAAACTGGAGCAAACCCACACAGATACGGGGAGAATGTGCAAACTCCATACAGACAGTTTCCCGAGGATGGAATCGAACCCGGGTCGCTGGCGCTGTGGGGCAGCAGTGCTAACCACTGAGCCATCCGATTGTTGATTTGTTGTTGTAAAAACCCATTTGGTTCACTAACACCCATTGGGGGCAAAGCAAATTTGGCATCCTTGCCCGGCCTGTATTTGACTCCAGACGCACAGCAATGATGGCTGGCCCTTAACAGCCCCCTGAGACAGCCTCGTGAATCACTCAGTCCAAGGGCAGTTGCGGATAGCCAGATTCCGCAGTTGTTGTTGTTGTTCACGGAACCTCCTCTAAAACAAACAAAATCTCATTTGAAATAATGGGCCTTCAACCTGTGATGAAGATGGCTGGCTACAAGGGCAATAGAATCAAACTTGCGTGTGCATCCGACGACTGGTTTCCAGAACCGAGCATAGAATGGTGGAACAGCAAGGGAGACAAACTGCCTGGAGCCTCCAAGAAACCGGTAAAGGACGCCAGGGGACTCTTGAAAGTGGAGAGCAGTCTCACTGTGGGTGATAGTTCTGATAACGTGTATAAATGCACCATCACCAACACGCTGCTGAAGACAGGGCGAAAGAGCACCTTGCAGATATCAGGTCAGTAAATCCCATTGTCGGACTGTGTAGAGACAGTTCCAATGTGCACTCGGAGCTGCAATTTCAGGGTCGGCTGGGGCAGGGGGTGGGGGTGGGGGGGTGTGTGTGGGGGGGGGTGCGGGTGTTGGGGGTTGCGGGGGCACAGGATGTGATTCACGCTAAGGGGAATCCTAAACTCAGCTGGGCTACTCGAGATTTGTGTTGAAGATAAGCAGACCCCACTCTGGCTGTCCCTAGGGCCTTAAGATGCAGCGTCAGGAGGTCACAAAATGACAAAACCAGTGGAAATGCCCACGACAGAGGACTAAAAATCTGCTTAAATGTCAAGATCGGAGTTTTATAAAATATTCAGCTCTCTAAGGATGAAGAGCACCATGGTGTAGGAAATGTAAAAAAAAACCCTGTCCTGGACTCCCATTGGCTGTGGGACAGGAAAGGAAATGACCATTTCTTCATGCATTTTCAGTAGAGGGTGCAATTAACATTTTTCCCAAGGACAGTTGTTGGCTGAGTTTCAAACTTGTGGCTACCTCAGGCGTAGGTTCTGTGTTCACGGTTTGATTGGCAGTTTTAAAAAGGCACTTAAAACATTAGTCGTGTCTGAATGCAAGTGTGATTTTTATTGTAAGAAATTGACCACTCGAAAATTGAAAGTTTTGAATGGATTTCATGAATGAGATTTTTGTCACTGTCAATTGTAAGTATTAAATTAGATTGTCAGCAGTATTTTTTTCTTCATCTCCATGTGACCTTTCGGTTCCATCCGTAGTGGATGTGTGGCTGAGAGCTCAGGATGTTTGGTAGGGAGTGGGCTTGAGATGGTATTAAGTTGATGTGCAAACTAAATGGGGTGATGCTGAATGCAGTGATGGGTGAGGGAGTGCTGCAGGATTGTGAATTGCAAAGGCACAGATTTGGAGTCCCAGAGAACCAAGGCGGGCTTGCCTAGGATTTCTTACTGGGGTCTCCCCCAATGCACCCCCAACTCACCAATGAGTAAAAATTACATGTTGTTGAACTTCCCACCTTGTGTCGCTGTTGATCGGGAAATTTTCCAACTGGAGTTGCTGGTCACGGTTGCAATACAACATTCCCTAAATGTCAATGACATTTTCATAAATTCAAGAACATCAGGACAATCATTTCCAAAATTCCCTACTACGAATTGGAAAGCCACAGATATCCTGCTGAATGTAGGCCCTTTAAAAGCTAGTATGCCTTTTAGATGTGACTGTTTCAGATCTGGATAAGAAATTGGTGAAAATGAAAATAGCCATTGGAAATGAAGGACAGCACAGAGTCAACACTTCAGACCTTTCTGAAGAAGATCCTGATAATCCATGGGAAACATTGGAGGCTCAGCTTTGTGTAAAAATGTAGTTAGAATACAACAGCGAGAGCACATACCTTACAGGCAACGGCCAAAACATTCAACGAACCCTTTCACAACAAGGGACGTGACAGTTGCAAGCAATGGGATTTTTCAGAAGGGTGTGATGTTTGATATGATAATGGAGCCTTTATTGAAACATACAACATCCTTAAGGGCCTTGATAGGGTAGATGTACAGAGATTTCCCCTTGTGTGAGATGTAAGAGCAGACAGCATAATCACAGAGCAAGGGGTTGTCCAGTTAGGATGGGAATGAGGAGGAATTTCTTCAGAGGGTGATGAATCTGAGACATTCTTTACCACAGAGGGTTATTGAGGCTGGGTCATTAAGTACATTCAAGGCTGAGAAAGATTTTTAATCAATAAGGCAGTTGAGGATTACGGGGAAGGAAAGGGTGGAAAACTGGAGCTAAGGATGATCAGATCAGCCATGAATGGTCGTGCAGACTCGATGGGCTGAATGGCCTACTTCTGCTCCTGTGGCGTATGATATCGAGATTGCACATACAAGTTGAAAACAACCAAGTGTGAGGTCCAGAACTCCAGAAAGTATTCCAGCATGTGACCTGAAAGGATTGTCAAACCATTAATGTGCAAGATAGACCCTTAGACTCATCAATATTCCAATTGCTTCTGTGTGAATGGTTTTGCACTTACCTGATGCATAGGTGTTCAGGGTCTTGTTGCGTGTAATTTTGTTTTGGAGTGTGGGGAGAAGGGGTTATTGTGTTACTGCTTTAGGAGCTGGGTAGACAAATGAGCCAAGGACCTGGATGACATCACATGACCAGCCAAGAGGTGTCCTAAACAGCATCCTACCAGCAAGGCCAAGTCTATAAGTTATGTTCATAAGTTGCTCTTGTCACTGCAAATGAGCAGTTTGTCTGTTCAGTCAAGCTCTTTGAGATTTTCAACCAAGCTGAACCTATTCTACTTCCTAATTCACATCCATCTTGAAGGACAGTGGCGGCAGATACAATTGGACACCACAAGTTCCCTTTCAAGGCATTCACCATCCTGATTGGGAAATATATCACCGTTCCTTCAGTGTTGCTGGGTCAAAATCCTGGAATTCCCTCCCTCAGGGCATTGTGGGTCAACCTACAGCAGGGGGACTGTGATGGTTCAAGATGGCAGCTCACCGCCATCTTCTGAAGAAGAACTAGGGACAGACAATAAATGCTGACCATTAATTGTTAAAGATGTTAATCATTCAGGAGTGGTCCTTCCATATTTCACTCGGGCGCTGATCCATTTATAAATCCTATTGAGTAATGTTCCATTTCTTAACACACCCTCTTCCTCTGACCATCCATTGTCTTTCTGGCCATCCTGCACAGAAATAACTAAAACAGTGCACACTCGAAACTGATGTACAAGAGCCATGTCATAACTTGAGCACCGCACTCCCACCTTAGGAGTCCCAACATAGTCTACAATTTGCTCAAAATTTCTTCTGGCTTCAGAATTTAACAGGAAAGGTTCTTTCCTTGCAGACCATTAGATTACAACCAGAGATTTTGAATAGTGGATTGATGGAGGTGTTTATTCTGTTTGACTCGTAGTTTGGTTCCGTAAATGGAGAATTTATTTAGCAGCAAGAAGGGTGTTAGTTGTTACATATGATATATGAGACTTGGTGCACTTCTCATTACTTTGTGGTGAGGAAAATTTCTAGTTAATGTTACGGATTGTCTGGAACTATAAATATGGCTGGAATTGATTTCTTTTTGCAAAAGCAATTATTTCTACAAGCGAGAGATGCTGGCATCGTAGTGATGTCATTGGTCTAGTAATCTGGAGCTCCTGCTGTGGGGACCGTGGTAACTGGTGGAATTTAAATTCAGTGGATAATTCTGGAGTTGGGAATTGGAGCCTGGGTCTTGGTGACCCAGAAGATGTCATTGATTTCCATTAGAAGCCCCATCTCGTTCACTAATACCCCTTTCGGGAAGGATATATACCATCCTTAGCTGGCCAGCATCAGGATAAACAATGATAGCAATAACTATCCTTTGAAATGGCCAAGCAAGCCACTGGGGAGCAATTCAGGGGCAATTAGGGATGGGTGACAAATTCTGGCCTTGCTGGCAACACCTATGAAATAATTTTTTTAAAAATAAATGTTCCTGATCCACATTAACGTGACCAATCCACTTGTTCTAAAGCTATTGTAAAACATATTTCAGTTTTCTGAATCCTCGGGTGTTAGAGCAGCTGCGGTTGAGACTTTATCTGCCAGTACCTTTCACAGGGAGAAATATGTGTGAATATTTCATCGTGTGTTTTTCTTTTCCCTGAAACTCTATTGCCAGCACGTCCCTGAGCAATAGAGTTACCTCTGAAACCTGTTTTGCAGGTGAATTCTTCCCCGTGGCCTCTGGCTGGTCTCTGGCTTTCCGGATAATCCTCTTTTTCTCCTGGAAGGAATTTGTGTTGTTTTATACTTCTATCGGAAACAACAGAAACAACGTAATCTAATGAGAGGTACGGAGCAGTTACTCTTTGTTGGGCAAAACGTCTAGCCCAGAGACATCGCATTTGTTTTTGTAAAGCTGCTAAAGGGAGGGAATGGATGGCAGAAATGAGAATTTTTGCTTTGCTCTGACATTGAGTTTTAAGTGGCCGAATCGGCGAAGAAATATACCCAACCCTTTTCTCACTGCCGTCCCCATGCTTGACCTCCTGTAACTTTCCAGCAGGGGTCAGTGTAATAGGGACGAGAGCTTTCACTGTTGGCTTTGTATCTTCCTCCTCTCTGACTTTCCCACTGAAAAGCAATGAAACTATTTGAATCCCATTAACAATTGGTAACACCAATTATGACGTCCTTGAAATCTTCATATCGTGGAATGAGTTGCCTTTGTCTCTTCTGTGATTAGTGGTTTGCAGAGTCAATCTCTCAATCAAATGAGAGCAGTCATTCGTAAACCCCTCTGCAGAAGTAATTTAATATCAATGTGTTACAGCTTATGATGTGGAGGTGCCAGTGTTGAACTGGGATGGACAAGGTCAAAAATCACATGACACCAGGTTATAGTCCAATAGGTTTATTTGAAGACACAAGCTCCATCTTCAAAAGGTCAGTGAGAGAGGTGGCATCAGACACAGAATTTATAAGCAAACATTCGAAGGGTTATGGAACTGATGCAAATGTATTGAACAAACCTAAGACGGCTGTTAAATCTTTAATTAATTCGAAAGGATTAATATGCAAATCCCAGAATTTTTTTCGCGTCACTGCCGCGAGATAACTAAAAGTTTTATCAAAATACCAGAGATGACATCTCCGGTCAGACAATGCATTTTAGGTGTGAGGCCTTGTTTAGATTCTGACAGTGTACTAACCTTGGAGTCAGACTGGTTTTATTTCCAAACTAGGAATTTAAAAAATGCCACATTGACTGTCTACAAATTGTATGCTTTTTGAACAAAACGGGATGTATCTGCAATTACAAATCTGCAAATGCAAATTCACCCCATAAATTTGTATGTGTGTGTGTTTGTGTGTGAGTGAGTGTGTGTTTGTGAGTGTCTGTGTGTGAGTGTGTGAGTATAGTGTGGTGCAATCACCCGTAGTGCGACATGAACCCAAGATCCTGTTTGAGGCCGTCCTCATGGGTACTGAACGTGGCTATCAGCCCCTGCTTGGTGACTCTGCGTTGTTGCGTATCCTGAAGCCCACCTTGGAGGATGTTTACCAGAAAATCTGAGGCCGAATGTCCTTGACTACTGAGGTGTACTGGGATTTGGCATGGTTTTGCCAATGTACTTTGCCTCGGGCATCCTTGCCTGCAGGTATAAGATAGACAACATTGACCAAGTCACAGAGTATCTGCTGTGCACGTGGTGGGTGGTGTTCCCACGTGTGATGGTAGTGTCCATGTCGATGATCTAACATGTCTTACAGAGGTTGCCATGAAGGGGGTTGTGCGGTTTTGTGGCTGATAATGTTCTGAGGACTGGGTAGTTTGCTGCGAGCAATGGTCTGTTTAAGGTTTGGTGGTTGTTTGAAGGCGAGAAGTGGAGGCATAGGGAGGATCTTGGTGAGATGATTATCATCATCGATAATGTATTGAAGGCTGCAAAGAACATGGTGTAGTTTCTTTGCTCCCAGGAAGTACTGAACAATGAAGGGTACCCTATCGAATGTATCCTGTGTCTGTCTTCTGAGGAGGTCATTGTGGTTTTTCACTGTGGCACATCGAAACTGGCGATCGATGAATTGAACATCGTGTCCTGTTCCTATGAGGGCGTCCTTCAACACCTTCAGGTGTCCATCTCGTTCCTCCTCATTTGAACAGATCCTCTGTATGCGCAGAGCTTGTCCATACGGGATGGCTGTTTCAATATGTTCAGGGTGCTGGAGAAGTGCAGCATCATGAGGTTATCCGTGGTCTTTCAGTAGAGTAAGGTATTGAGGTGTCTGTCCCTGATGGAGATGCATGTGTCCAAAACTGAGACTGATTCTGAAGAGTAGTCCATGGTAAGTCTGATGGTGGGATGAAACTTATTGATATTGCTGTGTAGTCGTTTCAGTGATTCCTCACCATGAGTCCAAAGGAGGAAAATGTCGTCAATGTATCTGATGTAGAGCTTTGGTCAGAGATTCTGCGCAGCAAAGAAGTCTTGTTCGAACTTGTGCATGCTGGGGAGCAAATCTGGTCTCCATGGCTGTTGCATGTGTCTGGGTGAAGAACTGGTTGTCGAAGGTGAAGACATTGTGGTCAAGGATGAAGCAGATGAGTTGTAGGATGGCATCTGGAGAGTGGCAGTTGGTGGTACTTCCAGACCCACACCTACCCAGCCTTCAGGACAACATCAACCACAACACTGTACAACCCCTCTCATGGCAAGACATGTCAGGTCATCAACACGGACACTACCATCACACATGAGAATACCACCCTCTACGTACACGGCAGATACTCATGTGACTCGGCCAACGTTGTCTATCTCATACACTGCAGGCAAGGATGCCCCGAGGCATGGTATATTGGCGAGACCATGCAGATGCTACAATATTGGATGAATGGACACTGTGCAACAATCACCAGACAGGAATGTTCCCTCCCAGTGGGGGAACACTTCAGCGGTCAGGAACATTCTGCTTCGGATCTTCAAGCAAACTTTGGGATACACAACAACGCAAAGTCACCGACTAGAGGCCGATACTCAAGTTCGGTCCCCATGAGGATGGCCTCAACTGGGGTCTTGGGGTCATGTTGCAGAACAGGTGACCCCAGCGCGCACACATACACACTCTCTCTCCCGCTCTCTCTCTCCTCCCTTGCTCTCTCTCTCTCCTCTCTCGTTCTCTATCTCCTCTGTCACTCTCTCTCCCTCATATGTGCACGCACACTCTCTCTCTCCCTCATATGTGCACGCACACTCTCTCTCTCCCTCACACACACACATGCACGCACACACCCTCTCTCCCTCACACAGACACACACGCACATGCACACTCTCACTCTCCCTCACACACACATGTGCACACGCACACACACTCATTCACCTTCTCTCTCTCTCCCTCTCACACACACACAGAATCTCTATCTCGCGCACGCGAACACACACACATACATACTCACTCACCCACACACACACATAAATTTATGGGGTGAATTTGCATTTGCCGATTTGTAATTGCAGATACATCCTGTTTTGTTCAAAAAGCATACAATCTGTAGACAGTCAATGTGGCATTTTATAAATTCCTACTTTGGAAATAAAACCAGTCTGACTCCAAATTAATACACAGCCAGTTTCTAAACAAGGCCTCACACACCTAACATGCATTGTCTGACTTGAGATGTCACCTCTGGTATGCTATTAAAACCTTTAGTTATCTCGGGGCAGTGACGTGAAAAACATTCTGGAATTTGCATATTAATCCTTTCTAACTGATTAAAGAATTGACAGCCGTCTTAGGTTTGTTCAACACTTTCGCGTCAGTTCCATGACCCTTTGACCGTTTGCTTATAAATTCTGTGTCTGATGCCACCTCTCTCACTGACGAGTGAGACTCCAAAAGCTTGTGATTTCAAATAAACCTGTTGGACTATAACCTGGTGTCATGTGATTTTTGACCTTTTACGCCTTATGTGATTGCTACCCAACTAAACTATACGTGTCTTATTTTTCAGAGGTTAATGTGCGACAACCATCAATGATTAGTCCAATACTTTGCTGTTGAAATATATTCTACACTTAAAAATGAAATTAAACTTGAATAGCATTTCTTATTGATGGTCAGTAGCAAAACCTGGTCTTTTACAATGTGTCTTTTTCAATAATGCAATAATAACTCTTGATGTTTTTGAAATTAAAGCTTTGCAAGGTTTTACTGAATATGGGTGTTGATGAATTAAACCTTCTTTTATGTTCTTTCGTTGCAGAATTTGAAATACTGATTGCGAAGCTCAGTAAGTGACTACTAGACAAAGTACACAAAGCAGTTGTCTTAAAACTTATCTTTGGATTATTTTCCAGTCAGCATCTTAGAGAATGGGTGACTATGGTTCTTTATGCCGGTAAAGCATGGAACAAAGCTCATTTATTACTGCTTTCCTTACACACGTTTAAAAAGAAGGCAAGAACGTGCTTGGAACTCAACCCGTTTGCCTTAAAATAAACGAAAACAGCAGTGATACTGCTAGTTACTTTAGCTAATTGGAACTTGAACTGCAGTTGGAATTCTTGCAGTCCGTCATGCACTGAGAACCACCAGGCTGAAGCAGTTTATGGTAGTGGATCACCATTACCTACTTAAGGGCAATTAGGGATGGGCAATAAATGCTGGCCTGGCCAGCAATTCCCCACATCCTGTGAAAGAATAAAAAGAAATGACAACTGGAGAGTTCACACTGATTCAAACTAAATGAGAGAATTGATTAAATCCATCATTAATTAATACTTTAATCACAAAAGTAAATGAGAAAACAGTTTAATCAAGCAGTTAGTACAAAAGTATGTCTGAACTGAATTTGATGATGCAAAGAACATAGAACAGTACAGCACAGGAACGGGACCTTCGACCCACAGTGTTGTGCCGAACATGATGCTAAATTGAACTAATTTTTCTGCCAAGCCTTGGCCCATACCCCTCCATTCCTTGCATATTCATGAGCTTATCTAAAAGCCCCTTACATGCCCCTATCATATCTGCCTCCACCACCACCCCTGGCAGTGTGTCCCAGGCTCCTACCACTCTGTGTAAAAAAACTTTCTGCTCACATCTCCTTTGAACTTTACCCCCTCACCTTAAATGTATGTTGTCTAGTTTTTGATATTTCAACCCTGAAAAAGATTCTCACCCGTCAACCCTGTCTCTTCAGCTCTTAATTTTATAGACTTCTATCAAGTTTCCCCTCAACCTCCACCGCTCCAGAGAAAACAACCCAAGTTTTTCTTGCCCTTCCTCATAGCTCATACCCTCTAATCCAGGCAGCATCCTGGTGAACCTCTTCTGCAGCCTCTCCAAAACCTCCACATCCTTCCTGAAATGGGGGGACCAGAATTGAACGCAATCCTCTTAAAAGTGCAGCCTAACCAAAGTCTTATAAAGCTGCAACATGACATCCTGACTCTTCTACTCAATTCCCCGACCAATAAAGGCAAGTATTCCATACGCCTTCTTTACCGCCCTATCTACTTGTGTGGCCACTTTCAAGGAGCTATGGACTTAAACCCCAAGATCCCTCTGTACATCAATGCTGTTCAGGGTCCTGCCATTAACTTTTCTTTGACGTTTGATCTCCCAAAGTGCAGTACCTCACACTTAAACTCCATCTACCATTTTACTGCCCATATCTGCAAGTGATCTATATCCCTCTGTATCCTTTGACAACCTTCTACACTACCCATAGCTCCACCAATCTTTGTGTCGTTACTATGCTTATTCTTGTAACATTTCAAACATGTTCTATTGAAGCCTATTGAAACAATTAGTCTCAGCTGTATGAAACATATTTTCATTGCAGTTATTACTGTTGTATTTATGGCTTCTTGTTTAATATTAAGCTGCACTTAATATTAATATTTAGTCCAGCTTAATGTTTAGATTGTGTAGTACACCGATAACAATGTCTGATAAAGTACAGCTGAGTAATACCACCCTGAGCCTTTCTCATTGAAATAGTTTGGTACCCCATCATCCTTTGTTCACTCAGACATCGTTTGCAATAAACATGGAAGGGTCTAAACACATTTTCGCTTCTTCTCTATTCTGCTTCTGATTTTGTGAATTTCAGCCAATTTTTGATGAGCGAGTGTAATATGTAGAATTGGCCATCAGGAGCTGTAATATGGTGCCTGTATTTTAAATAGAATTGCTTCAAGTGACCCGAAAGCGGCACGAGGAGTGAGAGCTTGGGGAGAAAAAGAGGTGACCCTTTCACAGGATGCAAAAGCCAGAGATCCCTCTCTCCCTTCCCCAAAGTGTCTCGCCTTGGAAACACCAGCACTTTGTAGACTCCTGTGGCAGGGCAGTGTGACGTGCAGACTGCTTAATTAGTGGATTGTGACAAATTAGCACGGTCCTCTTGCCCTGGGAACTTTGAAGAGCATTCAAGAGCTGCTAGACATCACTTTTTTTCAGTGAGATTCAAGGGGAGGGGGAGTGGTGGAGGAAATTGCAAACGCCAACCTCTGAGATGGCAAAATCAAAGATGCTCACATCTCCCTTGCCACCCTCAACCACAAAACCTCTGTAATATGTGGCCTAATCACTGGAATAGTGCTGCCTGAGCTAATGTTCTGGGGACACAGGTTTGAATCCCAGCATCAGCTGCTGGTAGCATTTCAACTTGACTAATGAGTAAACTAAGTAAATTAATAAATCTGGATTTGAAAACTTATCTCAGTAATAGTGACCATTTGAAATATCATCGATGATTGTAAAAGCTCTAATCCCTGATCTGATTAGTTAGGGAGCAAAATCCTGGTTGGACGTGCGTGTGGTTATCTCTTAGCTACGCTCTGCAATGTATTTTTTTTTAATTTATTTATTTGTGGGATGTGGGCATCGCTGACTGGACCCAGCATTTATTGCCCATCCCTAGTTGCCCCCCTTGAGAAGGTGGTGGTGAGCTGCCTTCTTGAACCACTGCAGTCCTCCTGCTGTAGATTGACCCACAATGCCATTAGGGAGGAAATTCCAGGACCCAGCGACAGTGAAGGAAAGACGATATATTTCCAAATCAGGATGGTGAGTAGCTTGGAGGGGAACTTGGAGGTGATGGTGTTCCCATGTATCTGCTGCCCTTGTTCTTCTAGATGGAAGTGGTTGTGGGTTTGGAAGGTATTGTCTGAGGATCTTTGGTGAATTTCTGCAGTGTATCTTGTAGATAGTACACACTGCTGCTACTGAGCGTTGGTGGTGAAGGGAGTGGATGCTTGTGGATGTAATGCCAATCAAGTGGGCTTCGTTGTCCTGGATGGTAGCAAGCTTCTGGAGTGTTGTTGGAGCTACACCTATCCAGGCAAGTGGGGAGTATTCCATCACACTCCTGATTTGTGCTTTTTAGATGGTGGACAGGCTTTGAGGAGTCAGGAGGTGAGTTACTCACCACAGTATTTCTCGCCTCTGACCTGCTCTTGTAGCCACTGTGTTTATGTCATGAGTCCAGTTGATTTTCTGGGCAATGATAACTCCCAGGATGTGGATAGTGATCTATGTTGATAGGTGGTTGAGTAAATCGTTCAGTTTTGCCAAATTGGTAAATTGTTAAAGAGAAGTGGAACTAGATGGACTGTGATGGTTCAAGAAGCTGGCTCACGACTGCCTTCTCAAGCAAAAGGAGAGATGGTCAACAAAAGCTGACCACGTCCCATGAAATATGGTGGAATTTGATACAGTTTGTCCAGGCAGGACATTGGGATTAAGCTTGTTGTGGATAAATTACCTCAAGGTTATCTTTAATTCAGCTACTTGTTAAGCAATCTCACAGACAATCAAGTACTGAAACAATAATTTAAACTTTATTGCATGTAGCAACCAACATAAGACCCCTTAAGCAAGCAAGTTAAACCTCACAACTTGGCTATTACCTGATGAATGGTGGAACTTGGCCAGGAATCCGTCAACCATGGTCTGTCTCTGGAAGCGTCCAGGGTTCCATCCTTAAGCAGTGTTGTTCTGCAAACCTCTGCTAAAGGGGGAACTCTGATGTTCGAATCTTATGCAAATTTTCACCCTTCAGATCTACACGTGATATTATTGATCTGTTTAAAGTCTTTTCATGCCCAACATTGATGACACTCCTGGAAACCTCGAGCTCGCAGCTTGCCTCCTTATCAGAAGTAGCTACCTTGCCTCTTGTTACGTTCAGGGTTAGCTCTCTGTTTAAAATGCACCTTTTCCTGCAATTAATCCCCTTACCTCAGAACATTCCCTCTGCGGGCAGTTTTAATTGCCCACTTGTCATGAGGCAGCAGACTACCAAACAGTTGTTATCTCTGCTCATCCAGGAAACAGCTGATTTATGTTGCTTTTCTCCCCAGGAATGGTCAATTTGCATGTTGCTTTACAGCCCTTGTCCCTTTCATCTCAAGAAATAGTTTATTCCAGACAGTGTTATTGTTGATTCTTTCAGCCCATGAAGTTATGAAAGTTGTGAAGTTTATAGTATCGCAATCTGTATTAATAATGGAAGGGATTCAACTTTGATACAGGCGCAGGAAGAGTTCCAATACGTTGTTAGTATTAACCTATTCTGTCATTTAGAGCAGTGTGTAATGACCTATATCTTTATAAACCAGAGACAACACAAGGAAACAACTTTCTACGCAGCGACTTGTTGTGATCTGTCATGCACCTCCAACAAAAGTGATCGAAACAGATTCAACAGGAGCATTGAAAAGATAAATACGTGAAGTGGGCAGGAATACATTAGAACATAAGAACTAGCCTGTTCTGCCATTTAATATGACCATGGCTGATCTCATCGTGGCCTCAACTCCACTTTCCTGGCTGCTATCCATAACCCTTTAACCCATTACTAATTAAGAATCTGTCTATCTCCTCCTTAATTTTAGTCAGTGTCCCGGCATCCACCACACTCTAGGATGATGAATTCCGCAGATTCACGACCCTTTTGAGAGACGTAATGTTTGAAATCTCTTACTGCTTACCTTAAAACGATGACCACTTGCCCTGGATTGCTCTGCAAGGGGTAGCGTCCATTCCTCGCCCACTTTGTCGAGCCCCGTGAGCATCTTGCGTTCCTCAGTTACATTGCTCTCTTCGCAGTCTTCTTAAACTCTGGTGAGTATAGAGCTAAACTGCTCAGTGTCTCCCCATAAGCCAAGCCTTTCATCTCTCAAATTAATGTCGTGAACTTTCTCCGAACTGCCTCTAATGCAGTTACATCTCTCTTTCTGTAACAGAACCAGAACTGGACAATATTCCTGATCTCACCAACACCTTACACGATTGCAGCAAAACCTCCCTACTTTTACATTCTATTCCTTTAACAATAAATGCCAATATTCTATTAAGCTTCCTTATTGCCTTATGTATTTGCAAACTAAATTTCTGTGATTCATGCACAAAATCCCTCCCTGAGCCGAATTGTTTTGAAGATTTTCTCCATTTAGACAACAAGTTCCGTTTTTATTCTTCTAACCAGAATGGATGGACTTGCAATCATCTGTCTTAAATACCATCTGTGAAATTACGGCCCATTTGTCTAACCTATCCCTATCCCCTTGTATCCATCTTTCTCAGAGTCATCTGCAAATTTGGCTTTCTATCCTCTCATCCAAGCCATTAATAAAGATTGCAAATAGTTGGGGCCCAAGGACCGAAACCTATGACTCGTGACAGTTTGCCATTTTAGTTACAGGGCAGTGAGCAAAGGGTGGGAAGTGGGCATAACCCAGTAACCCGAGCGAACCCAGCATGTATATAATGGGCCAAATGGCCTCTCTATGTATCTTTCAGCAACTCTTTCATATTAGGTTTGAAATTCTTATTAAAAAATAGAGAGTTTTTTTTAATCATTCAGTCATGGGACATGGACATCACTGGGCTGGGCCAGCATTTATTACCCTTGAGAAGGTGGTAGTGAGCCACTGCAATCCACATGCTATCGTTTCGTCCGAAGGTGTTTTCATTTCACTGAGCAGTCGTATCGAGAAATGTGTAGAATTTTTTAAAAGTAACAAAATTTCTAGTACCTGCATTTAGTTGTTTCAAGTCAGCTCCTTACATTTGTGGCAAAAACAGTGGCATTAACGTGTGGTTTTTCTTCACTCGCAGATCAAGCATATGTATGTGCAGAGAAAGGTGGGTTTTGCCTCCTATATAATGCTAATTCATGAACATTAACTTAGCATGGCCTGCTTCAGTGATGCTTAGTAATAAACGGCATAATTTTTTAAGTTCATAATGAGGTGTCTGATTATTGTCATCATTTCTTTCCTAACAGAAAAGAATAATCTGTTAAAACAGATCGGTAAGGTCATGCATGTTATATTATACTGTGGTGTCCTTATCATATAGCTGCAGGTGAAGAGGAATAGATTTCAGGTCAGTTTGTGGAGCTAACTTGATTTTAACTCCTTGACCAGGGATTGTTCATAAATGGATGAGGGTCTTTTAAAACCTGCCCAAATAATTCTCCATTGACTTTGAGTTGAACATCTGCAAGATGTACATCTAATTTTGCACCCAACTTCGATGACAAGGTGAAATTAAACTTCTGTTTGTATTCCCATTTCTAACTAACTTATTTTCTGTCCTCACTAATTCTCTTCATCTATACTGTGTCTTCACCTCCTTTTCCCCTTTGTATAGTTCCAGCACATGCGTATAGGCCTGTCAAAACCACTTTGATATCAGACAGTACAACTAGTTTCATGTGCGGAATGTAACGCAGGCATTAAATAAATCTGATGACTCTGATTACTCTTGCCAGTCACAACCAGGGCCGTAGAAGAGCCTTTTGCAACAAAGATTTGTGAAGTATTATCACTTGTAGAAGAAAATGGATTGTTGTAGAGAGCTCTGCAGAAGAGTTTTTTTAAAGAGGTCAGAAAGTCATTTTTGAACAGTGAATTCAAACATTGTTTCCGAGAAGACATGCAATTTGTGTGAAGTGACTCAGTGAGATACCTGGGTGCTTAATTGCTGAATGTTTACAAAGTAGAACTTTTACAAATGTAGAAAGACAAATGGCCAGAGGAAGGAACTAGTTTTCAATTCAGAAGAACAGTTTCAAGCCAGTAAAGGGGCAGTTTGTTTGTGAAGCCTTTTGGCTGGAAAGAAGTCTTTTGCATATAAAACAGTCGAAGAAAAGACCCTCTATGACGTTTAAAATTGAATGAAAAGAGTGAGTTAGTTTATCATTTTTTTGTTGCTGGGAGAAACAGTAATGGAGAGAACCACATCTGACAAATGTTTTGAAAGTCACTGAAAAGAAATACTTGCACTGTCTTCAGTTAAGAAGTTTAACAAATTAAGATTGGAATGAAATTTTACTGGGATTGAGTGGCTGTAAAGGATACTGTTGGAAAACAGTTGACTCTCTCCCTATTTACTTCCCCCCCCCCGCCACATCTCAGATGACCTCGTTTTTCAAGGACGGCAACTTCCCCCCCTCAGTGGTCGAGAACGCCCTCCACCGTGTCTCCTGCATTTCCCGCAACTCATCCCTCACACACCGTCCCCACAATAACAACCAAAAAAGAATCCCCCTCGTCCTCACGTACCACCCCACCAACCTCCGGATCCAACGCATCATCCTCCAACACTTCCGCCATCTGCAATCTGACTCCACCACCAAAGACATTTTTCCGTCCCCACCCTTATCTGCTTTCCGGAGGGACCACTCTCTCCGTGACTCCCTTGTCCGCTCCACACTCCCCTCCAGCCCCACCACACCCAGCACTTTTCCCTGCAACCACAGGAAGTGCTACACCTGCCCCCACACCTCCCCCCTCACCCCCATCCCAGGCCCCAAGAAGACTTTCCACATCAAGCAAATTTTCATCTGCACATCTGCTAATGTGGTATACTGCATCCGCTGTACCCATTGTGGACTCCTCTACATCGGGGAAACCAAGCGGAGACTCGGGGACCGCTTTGCAGAACACCTACGCTCGGTTCGCAATAAACAACTGCACATCCCAGTCACGAACCTTTTCAACTCCCCCTCCCATTCCTCAGACGACATGTCCATCCTGGGCCTCCTGCAGTGCCACAACGATGCCACCCGAAGGTTGCAGGAACAGCACCTCATATTTCGCTTGGGAACCCTGCAGCCCAATGGTATCAACGTGGATTTCACAAGTTTCAAAATCTCCCCTCCCCCTACTGCATCCCAAAACCAGCCCAGCTTGTCCCCGCCTCCTAACCTGTCCTTCCTCCCACTTCAACCGTCACCCCCATCTCCGACCTACCAGCCTCATCCCACCCCCTTGACCTGTCCGTCCTCCCTGGACTGACCTATCTCCTCCCTAACTCCCCACCTACACTCACCTTTACTGGCTCCATCCCCGCCTCTTTGACCTGTCTGGCTCCTCTCCACCTATCTTCTCCTCTATCCATCTTCTATCCGCCTCCCCCTCTCTCCCTATTTATTTCAGAACCCCCTTCCCCTCCCCCATTTCTGAAGAAGGGTCTAGGCCCGAAACGTCAGCCTCTCTGCTCCTATGATGCTGCTTGGCCTGCTGTGTTCATCCAGCTCTACACCTTGTTATCTCAGACTCTTTCAGTTTGCTGTTTTTAATCAAAATCTTTCTAAATTGTTTCATATGTTTTTCAATCCTTTGTGTGTTGAACATGTTTGCTAAGGGAACATAGGAAACTGTGTGAGAACATTTTCAATAATTAACCACCACAATAACCAAACTGCAAAAATAAAACTCGTAAGTTATCAGGCCAAGTTTCACCCTGAAATCTGACTTGTCCAGTACCACCATCAGCTGGGATCATAATGCTGTAACATTTATTTTGGTGTCTTTGGCTTTAGAGAAAGTAATCAGCGAATGGCGTCCTGTGATAGAGTTGGAGTTATGGTTAACCCTAACCTGATCCTATCCTGCTCACTTAAATGTACAGTGATCCTGATTGGAAGTGTGCATGTTGTTGGAGTCAGACTTAGTTTTGATGTACAATGTGGACTTATACACATATATGTTACGTTATACGTTATATACAGTCTTATGTATTGACAGACACATAACACAAGCCTGTCTGAATAGGAATGTGGAGGGGACAAACATCTCTCAGGCTGTGCTTTATCCAGGGCCTCAATACTGCGTGGGAGTAGAAACTGACAATGGACAAACAACACTTATACTTGGACTTGGTGGAAGCATCACATTTATGAAACTGTGCTCCTTTGAGTTATTAGTTAATGGTATGTTAGTTGTTTTATTAAGATAGATGGGCGACTGTTCAATTAATATCTCAGTTCACTCCTAAAGAGACACTGCTAGGACACTGGGTTGGTCAATGAAATGCTGCATTCTGGGAATAAATCTATTGTCAATTAAAGTATGAGTGTCTAGTTTTAATGCTGCACCTTGGGATCAGTGTAATATTAATTTGTTTTTTTTTCAGAAAATGAAAGGCAGCCTGCCAAATTAGTTAAGACTCCTTTATTACGAGGATCAGAATTGTCAATGAGTTTCCAAGACTTCCAGCATCCGTAGCTATTACCCTGTGGTCAGTTTCTTTTAATGTGGGCGGCATGGTGGCTCAGTGGGTTAGCACTGCTGCCTCACAGTGCCAGGGACCCGGGTTCAATTTCACTCTCGGGCGACTGTCTGTGTGGAGTTTGCACATTCTCCCCGTGTCTGCGTGGATTTCCTCCAGGCACTCTGGTTTCTTCCCACAGTCCAATGATGAGTAGGATAGCTGGATTAGCCATGGGAAATATGGGCTTGCAGGGATAAAGTAGTGGGGCTGGCTTTGGCTGGGATGGCCTTCAGAGTGTCAATGCAGACTAGATGGGCTGAATGGCCTCTTTCCGCACTGTAGGGATTCTGTGATTCTGCATTTTGGAGGGAGTAGGGGAAGAATGTGGTTCAGGATCTCAACAGAAAGGTGTCTACCTTCAGAAATACACTTGGTGGGTGAAGCACTTTGAAATGATGAAAGGTGTCATTATTGACTTGACATTTTAAGGCATGAAATTATATCTCAAAAATATTCGCTCTTTCAGAATCTGAGAAGCTGCTCCATCTTATTGGTATGATCTTCATCTCTAACCACTTGGGTTTTAATGTTTTAATTGTTTGGCTTGACTGTTTACATTTTTTTTGCATCATCGTGATATTTCTGTGTGTAACGTTATGGGATTCATGTTAAAGCTTTAAATTTCATTTGCAGCTCCTTGTTGCTTTAAATTTATGCGCAGCTTGTAGAAAACTATTGACCTGTAAATACTTCTAAACAAGGGGTTCGGTTTGCTGAGTCAGCTAGATGGCTGGTTTGAAATGGAAAGCTATGCCAACAGCCTGGGTTCAATTCCCATCACTGGGCTGAGGTTACTATGAAGGAGTCTCCTTCTCAACCTCTCCCCTCACCAGAGGCATGTGTGACCCTCAAATTAAGCCACCACCAGCTGTTTGTGTCTCTAATGAGAGAGCAGCCCTATGGTCTGTTGGCAAGAGCCTGATAATTCCTTCAGGCCAAATAAAAAAAGGAGTTAGAGAGGGGGAGATGATGGATTGTAATGATCATGTTGAAATTACATGTTGTGCTTTTATTATGATGTAAACTGCTTCTAAATATTAACACTAGTGCAGGACTTTGAGCTCCAGAATCTTTGTAAGAGTGGTTCAGAAGGGCATATTAAACTGCCCTGTGTTTGTGTTTTCAATTCTAGTCTCCTGCTATAGGAAGGATGTTATGAAACTTGGAAGGGTTCAGAAAAGATTTACAAGGACGTTGCCAGGGTTGGAGAGTTTGAGCTACAGGGAGAGGCTGAATAGGCTGGGGCTATTTTCTCTGGAGCGTCAGAGGCTGAGGAGTGACCTTATAGAGATTTATAAAATCATGAGGGGCATGGATAGGACGAATAGTCAAGAGCTTTTCCTAAGAGTAGGGGAGTTCAAACCTAGAGGGCATAGGTTTAAGGTGAGAGGGGAAAGGTTTAAAAGGGACCTAAGGGGCAACTTTTTCACACAGAGAGTGGTGCGTGTATGGAATGTACTGCCAGAAGAAGTGGTGGAGGCTGGTACAATTACAATATTTAAAAGGCACCTGGATGAGTACATGAATCGGAAGGATTTCGAGGGATATGGGGCAAATGAAGGCAAATGGCATTAGATTGATTTAGAATATCTGGTCGGCATGGACCAAAAGGTTTGTTTCTGTGCTGTACATCTCTGTGACTCTATGTAACAAAGCTGCCCACAAAATTGGATTATGTTCTGGTGCTGGCATTCAAAGACTTTCTGTTCCAAACATTAAATATCTTCAAACCTGCTCTGGTTTGTTTTTTTGGGAACATAGTAGATCGACATTGAGTTACTGTTTGTTACTGTACAACTGTAAATGTGCCCAATAATTTTTTATTCATTTTGGCATTGGCGAGGACGGATTTTATTGCCAATCCCAGTTGCCCGTTGAGAAGGTGGTGGTGAGCTTTCATCTTCAACCACTGCCATCTGTGGGCGTTAGGTCACCCATCATGGGTGTTCCTGGATTTTGACCCAGAGACAGTATCAGGGCAGCGACATAGTCCCAAGTCAGGGTGGTGTCTGAGTATCTTGGAGGGGACCTTACAGGTGGTGGGGCACTGGTCTATTTCCTCGTTCGTTGTGCAGAAAATGAGAAGGTATCACAAAATCAGAACTGAATTTTTTTCCAAATAAAAAATGATTCCACCCTGGGTTATAGTTTAAATGAGTGCTGCCATCCTTTATAACTTCCATCTATGTAAAACTGCCATCATAATTCCCTTCTCCCTCATTTGCTGTGAAATTTGCGCTGTGCTCCCAATACATTAGAGTGCTTTGAAGTCTATTTGTGAAGTATGCACCAAAACGAGGCTGACTGATGGTTTAATACTTGTCAAAGAGCCTACAATCCACCAACAGATACACATCGACATGTAGTTACCCAGCCAATGACCCACACGTGTTTTTCTTATTCCCTTCGAATATCTTGTTTTTTGAACATTCGTCAGTATTAGATACGCACACGACAGAACATTCCTGCACAGTGCTTGTGTTTTCCTTTGTATTAGCACCGTCATGTTGACAGGGACCATTAGGAAATGCACTGGTCACTGTTAATGGCTTGTGATTTTTTTTAGAGTGGGACAAGATGCTTAGATGCGCAGGTAAATGAAATGTTCTCCAAAATTGTACATGCACAGAACTATCCGAGGGGAAAAAAAACCTAACGTGATTTTGGTTGCCTTCAGCGAGAAACATGACAAAATATTTGGAACGTGCAATGCAGCATATCTGGCTAATTGTAGACATTTGCAATGGCTGTTTCTTTTCCTGCTGCAAATTCTGCAGGTTCTAATTCTACCTACCCCAAAGGTTAGGGGATGCTCTACTGTGAAATGTATTTGAGGCTGTGATGGAGGGATTGCTGTTTCTTTTTGGTGGAATTGAGGGAAAGAGGGGCAACAGAGTGCAGCCTGAGATCAGGCCTCAATCCCGATCATTCTGAATTGGGGGGGAGTAGCAGGCCTGATGGGCCGAATGGCCCTCCCGTTGCTCCTGGTCCTTGTGTCACCAGTGCAGGATGAGGGTGAGGGGGGAGTCTCTCGCCTCTTGTGCAGATGCAGGTTTCAATCGTGGTGGGGGGGACGAGGGTGTGAGGTGGATTGGCGAACAAAGATCTCAGTAACGTCCCTGCTGCAGCTTCAGTCACCCTGGACCCCGACACAGTGAACAGAAACCTGGACGTGTTGCTGGATTGCCTGGCGGTGAAGGACAGTGGCAGGTGGCGCAACGTCACGGAGAACCCGAAACGCTTCGAGCGGTACCCGTTCGTCATGGCCAGCGAAGGCTTCCAGTCAGGAAAGCATTACTGGGAGGTGGAGGTGGGTGACTCCAATAACTGGGACCTGGGCGTGGCCCGGGGCTTGGTGAGACGGAGCGGGCGCATCGTTCTGGACGAAGAGAACGGATACTGGGTCGTCGGGCGCTACTGGGACAAGTACGAGGTGAAAAACGCGGAGAAGACGGAGCTGATCCTCCGCGAGAAGCCCACAAAGGTCAGGGTTTTCCTCAACTGGGAGGAAGGGTTGGTCTCGTTCCACAACGCAGACACGAAAAGCCAGCTCCACGTCTTCAGGACGCACTTTGAGGAGGAGATCTTTCCCTTCTTCTGCCCTTGGCGGTCTCAAGAGCCGTTGAGAATCACTCCTGTTACACTGGAGAACTGACCATTAACTCTCCTTGAAGCGCAGGGGCGGAGGTGGGCAGCCTAGAGGCCTACCGTCCATCACTTCCACGTCCGTCAGAAACACGTACCCAACGATTCTCATCCCACTTTTCAGCTCTTGGCTGTGTATGGCTTAGCAACACAAGTGCGGGAGGTCAGATGTCAATATCTGCTCCCCTTTTTGTTTGTGATGTTCCCCCACTGTGGATAATGTTAAATGTCTAACTGCTAACTCTAACAGCCTGATGCTTCCTGATGTCATTTCTGTACGGTAGGCTGTGCTGATCAGAACTGGGAACAAGCCAGCAACTTTAACACTGTTAGCACCGCACTTTACCCATCTGATCCTCCAGCATGTCTCTTTGTCCTCTCTCTCTTTTTTTATGTATTCTCTCTTAATTTAATCCCCTAGAGAAACGCGTGAAGTGTTGGAAGGATTTTCCAGCAGACTGACCACCGGTTGAAATACTTTATGAACTGCCCTCCCACATTAAGGCTAAACATCCTGGCTTGGGACTTGAAACCTTTTCTCACTCAGAGACACAACAGTTACCAACTGAACCACAAGATGTGCCTAAAGGAGGCTGATTCCAGTTCTGCCTCCATCCTGGAGTGGGACTTGAACCTAGATCATCATTTCTCAAGTGCTGCCCAATGTACCCACAGCTTGCTGACATCTGGAATTGTGCTCAGCACAATCTTACATGGAGAGATACCAGAGCATTTTGAATCCATCGCCTTAACCTCTCAGTCCTGACTACAACCAAAGTGTCCCTTTACATCTTGATTTGACTGTGGATAATTAATGTCTTCTGCCTGATATCCTGGAACGATTAACCATGGCGACTGTTTTATTTCACCTGTTTGTACCAGAGGCAAACTGAGCAAAATTCATTCCCTCACTTTTATATCAGCTCATCCATCAGGCAATGTGAAATTAAATCTGTTCATTTCATTTTTGTTTTACTGTTTCTCTGTTCAGTTGTAACAGCAAATACTGATTGGAACAAATGGACTCAATGCTGTTGGGAAACCTCTGCACATGGTGTTGCCTTGAAAGTGCGTAGCCATGAATTTATGGGGTTAAGTATTACACAAGGAAATTCTCCACTCTCCTACCTCCCTGTCTGTCCTGACTCCCATGCCTCTGCTCTCCTGACTCCACGTTTGGAAGATTGTATTGAGAAGGTGGGACAAGTAACTTATGTTTCCAATTTCAACTTACTCAGAGGATACTGGGAGGTGCCTTCATCGAAAAGAGTGAAGGAAATTTCAGCTTTTGTAACACCGAATGGACTGTACCAGTTTAAAGTCATGCCATTTGGTGAGAAGAATAGACTATCCTTATCTCAAAGACTTACCAATAAAGTCATTTCCAGATTACCCAAGTGTACATCGACCGGGAAGGAACATTTTCAGCATCTAGCAGAATTGTTTAATTGACTTTGGGAGGTGGACTCGGTGATAAAGCTGACTAACAGTGAGTTTGCAAAAGCCAAAGTCACATTCCCTCACCCTAACCTTGGACAAGGACAGATGGCCCCATGAAACATGAAAACAAAGGTCATTGGGAGAGTTTCCCATCAACGAAGAGGGCGTTATTACAATTTCTGGGGCTGAGTGAAAATTTTATTGCAAATCTGTCCTGAATTTTAGCAGTGTTGTTGTTCCACTGAATGACCTATTGAAGAAGTGCAGAAAATTTCAGTGGATGGGAAAATGTCAGAAAGCATTTGACAGCCTGAAAGCAGTGTTGACCATCTCCCTGATGTCAGCTACCCCTAATTACACAAAACGTTTTGTTTCTATGCTCACAAGATGCCTGGTGGAGACAACATTTCTTGCCCATCTCGAATTGTGCTTGAGAAGATGATAGCGAACCACTGAAATCCATGTGATATACGTAGACCCACAATGCTGTTAGGGAATATTTGACGCAGTGACATTGGAGGACCAATAATGTATTTCCAAGTGAGGATGGTGAGTGGCTTGGAAGGGATTTTGTATGGGGCAGTGTCTCCCTGTATCTACTGCACTTGTGCTTCTCGCTGAATCATAGAATCCCTGCAGTGCAAAAAGACGCCATTCGGCCATTGAATCTGCACCAACCCTCTGAAGAGCATCCCAACCAGACCCACCCCCTACCCTATCCCTGTAACTCTGCATTCCCCATGGCTAATCCACTTAGCCAGCACATCTCTGGACACTATGGGCCAATTTAGCATAGCCAATGCACCTAATCTGTGTCGCTTTGCACTGTGGGAGGAAACCCACACAGACAGGGGTAGAGCATACAAACTCCACACAGACGGTCACCCGAGGGTGGAATCGAACCTGGGTCATTGGTGCTGTGAGGCGGCTGCGCTAACCACTGAGCTACCACGCCACCTCAAATGATGAGAGCTGTCATTGGTTTGGAAGGAGTTGTGTCAGGATCTTTGGTGAATTTCTGCAGTGCAGCTTGTAGATAGTACACACTGCTGCTACTGAGTGTCGGTGGGGGAGGGAGTGGATGCTTGTGGATGTGGTGCCAGTCAAGCGGGCTGCTTTGTCCTGGATGGTTTCAAGCTTCTGGAGTGTTGTTGGGGCTGCACCCATCCAGGCAAGTTGGGAGTATTCCATCACACTCCTGACTCGTGCCTTGTAGATGGTGGACAGGCTTTGAGGAGTCAGGAGGTGCGTTACTCCCTGCAAGATTCCTAACCTCTGACCTGCTTGTGTAGCCACTGTATTTAAATGACTCATCCAGTTCAGTTTCTGGTCAATGATAATCCCCCAGGGTGTAGGTAGTGAAGGATTCACTGATGGTTATACTGTTAAATGTCAAGGGACACTGGTTAGATATGGTTTTTCTGAGGAAGGGTCCCGACCCGAAACGTCAGCTTTCGTGTTCCTCTGATGCTGCCTCGCCTGCTGTGTTCCTCCAGCTCCACACTGTGTTATTACAGACTCCAGCATCGGCAGTTCTTACTATCTCTGGTTAGATATGTGTTGGAAATGGACATTGCCTGGCCCTTGTGAGGTGTGAATATGACCCCAAGCCAGGATATCATCCAGATCCTGTTGCATTTGCTTCAGTATCTGAGGAGGCCAGGTGGGAAATGGGGCACAGCCCTCCCGAGTTCAAACTTGCTGTAAATTCCTATCTACCCTCCTCCTGCTTCCAGATTCACAATCGGGAGGCATCCCCTCAGCCCCCGGGAAGTGCTCAAGGTGGTCTGTTCAATTTGGGAAGGGGTTGGCAATTCCCTCATTAACATTTCTTTTCAAAGTCACGGTCTGGGGATTTTTTCCCTGCAGGTCATACAGCCTGAAAGCTGGTCACTGCCTGTGCATCAGTTCAGATCCTGTCTCTCTCTCTGTCTCTCTTGCACTGTCTCCCCTCCACCTCTCCTTGTTTTTGCACCTGCTTCCTTATCTCTCTCTCTTTCCCTCAGATGTAGGACTATCCAGCTGGAGCTGGTCAGCTCCGTCCGTTTGGTTTTTTTTTTAATTGCTCTCTTTTCTTTTTCTCTTTTTTTTTCCTTCTTTCTTTCTCTTTGACGGTGTCCTGAACTCTTGGCTTTAACGTGAACTTGGATTCCCGGCCTCAGCGTGGATTCGAGCCCCCAGCGTCAGCGCAGTCCCGGCATGGCGATCTCTCGGCTCAGTGCGGCGCTCTCCTAGTTCTGAGGAAAGATTGCTGGGACCCTAAAACATTAACTCTGCTTTCCCTCTCCACAGACGTCGCCAGACCTGCTGAGTTTTCTTCCATTTAGTTTTGATTCTGGTTTCCTGCATCTGCAGTTCTTTCAGTTTTTTTTAAAGGTGTAACAAGGGCCACTCCAGTAATCGGGCCCTCTCAGTGCCACAAATGTGTGTAAATATAGCCTTGTATAAGTAAGAAATGCCTTGGGTTTTATTTTGCGACTGCAGAGAATGCCAAAATCTAGTGTTTGCTACTCGTGTGAAGACTGTACAGAAAAGTTTTAGTAACTGTGTATGTGGATAATTTTTTTCAATGAATAAAGTATATTTTTTCAATAAAAAATTCCTAATCTTCAATTCCCCGATTATTCCTACTCTGATCTACAATCCCTACATGTGCGATTAGCTGGGCTGGTGTTGAGAAGGGCACTACCTGTGAGATTCTTCTCATGTGTGCCATGTTGGACATCGCCACCTCCCACTGCCCTTGAAGCGGCTGCAGGGTGGGGGTGGGTCACACATCTCCTGCTGGAATGTGCTGTTGCTAAGGAAATCTGGAGGTAGGTGCCATGGTTTTTGTCGAGGTTCATCCCGAGCAGGTCCATGATGTGGGACTCTGTGCTCTACGGCCCGTTCCCCAGGATGCACACCGAGACAAACATCGACTGAACCTGGAGGACCAGCAAGCTGGTGAAAGGCGCTCCTTGGTCTGCCCGAAACATGTTGGTTTTCCAGAGCAAGGAGTTGACCCCAACCGAGTGTTGCAGACTGGCACATTCCAAGGTCCAGGACTACGTGCTGAGGGACGCTCTAAAGCTTGGGGCAGCTGCTGCCAAGGGGCAGTGGGGAAAGACCACCCTCTGAGGTCTTCCTGCTGATGGTAAATGGAGGTCTATCAGTGATGGGACCCTCCCAGTGTCTCCAATATATGTAAACAGTATCTTGCATAATTTTCGAATCATACAATCCCTACAGTTTGGAGTAAGCCATTCAGCCCATCAAGTCCACACCAACTCTCCGAAAAGCATCCCACCCAGACACACACCCCTATCCTATCCCTGTTACCCTGCATTTCCCATGGCTAACCCACCTAGCCTGCACATCCCCGGACACAACGGGCAATTTAGCATGGCCGATCCATGCACACCTTTAGACTGTGGGAGGAAACCCAGAGCAAGGGGTAGGCGATAGCCTAATGGTATTATTGCTAGACTGTTAAACCAGAGGTGTGGGTAATGTTCTGGGGACCTGGGTTTGAATTCTGCCATGGCAGATAATGGAATTTGAATTCAATAAATATCTGGAATTGAAGAGTCTAATGATGACCATGAATCCATTGTTGGAAAACCCCGTTTGGTTCACTAGTACCTTTTAGGGAAGGAAACTGCCTTCCTTACCTGGTCTGGCCTACATGTGACTCCAGCCCCATAGCAATGTGGTTGACTTTTAATTGGACAATTAGGGGTGGGTAGTAAATGCTGGCCTAGTCAGTGACAGCCACATCCTGTGAATGAACAAATTTTTTAAAATTATCCTTCAAATATATCTGTTTGTTTGTCTGTCTTTTGTGAGAGGAGGAGGGCTAGAATTGTAGAAGATTGGGTTTATAGACACTAATTAGATTAGCTTGTTGGTAAAATTTGCTCTCCTAATTATTAATAAATTGTTAAATCTTTTGTTTAGGCTATAAACCTGGTGACTGGCTTTGGTTATTCACAATGTTTGGCACTTGTTATTCAAAAAAGCCTGGATAGGAACTGTTGAAGTCAATTTTGAGAGACAATGAATGTTTTAATTTTACTGTGTTGTGAATATGGCAATAGGGAGGCTGATTTGACTTGGTAGCCTGTTTTTTATCACAACACTGTGTATGGATTTATGTAGCATCTAACAAGAGTAGGTGAGCCACATTGAGAGCCTAGCTGACAATGTTAAATTATGAGTGTAATTCTTAGATGTTAGCTTTGTTCAGTAAGTGCTGTGAAATCAACCATTAGAGTCACAGAGTCGTAGAGAGATACAGCATGGCAACAGACCTTTCGGCCCCACTCATCCATGCTGACCAGATATCCTAAATTAACCTAGCCCCATTTGCCAGCTTTTGGACGATATCCCCTCTTAAACCCTTCTTATTCATGTCCCCATCCAGATGCCTTTTAAATGTTTGTAATTGTACCAGCCTCCACCACTTCCTCTGGCTGCTCATTCCATCCAGGCATCACCTTCTCCATGAAAATGTTTCCCCTTAGGTCCCTGTTAACTCTTTCCCTTCTCGTCTTAAACCTGTGTCCTCTAGTTTTGGACTCTCCCACCCAGGAGGGGAAATGCCTTGTCTAGTTACCCTGTCCATGTCCCTGGTGACCCCTGAGTTCTGCAGATGTGGGCTGGTTGAGTATGGTCAGTGCTCTGCATATTGCAAACAGTCAAAGTGATGGAATGCTTGATACCATCCATCAGAGCCTAAGTACTAGCGTCACACTAGTGCTGAAATTCATACTCCACAGTAAACATTTGCATGGCTCCTAAAGCATCTTTATTTTGGTTCATTGGCACAGTCCTGTTAATGGAAGATAAATACCAGGTTACATGTCATTATTGCATTTTGAGAAGTGGTTGTGTTCAAGCTGGAACAGAACAGCAATGGGGGTCAGTTGCCGAGAAGTGGGGTCAGTTGTGAGCCTGGTGATTTTATAAATATCGCCACTGAATGGACATCTCGATGGCGCCTATGTATCTATCACTGTTGGGCGACTAGCACAATTTCCCAAACAAAAAAAGGTGTGAGTGGAACCCAGCAATGCAATGGTGAAGAATCTATACAGTGTAGCAAGAGGCCATTTGGCCCACTGAGTCTGCAGTGAACCCCACCCCCGCCAAAGAGCATCACACCTAGAGCCAGCCCCCTATCCTAAAACCCTATATATCCCATGGCTAATCGTGCACATCCCTGGACACTACGGGGAATTTAGCATGGCCCATCAACCTAACCTGCATATGTTTGGACTCTGGGAGGAAACAAGAGCACCTAGAGGAAACCCACGCAGACACGGGGAGAATGTGCAAACTCCACGCAGACAGTCACCCGAGGCTGGAATCGAACCTGGGTCCCTGGCGCCATGAGGCAGCAGTGCTAACCGCTAAGCCACCATGCTGCCCTGTGCATCTGGTTCTGTACCCCATAGTCCAAAAAGTATTGCACTGGAGAGGAGGCAAAAAAGATAAAGGTTGGAAAGATGATGCCAAGGCAAGACTGAATGGTCAGGCCTCCATTCTCCAATCCAGGGCTAACCCCATGGGCACTTCAAAGAAAATTGATGATGGGGTGCATTGGGATGAAATGCAGAGAAAACATTCCAAGTTGCAGGAGACTAGAACCAGGGACCTCAGCGTCATCACTATTACATCTGAAATGAAAATCGAAAAGCAATTCTCAATGCCCTGGAATGTAGATCTGGTGAGCTTGTGGAGCGATTGAGATGCTTCATAAATTATGTGGATGAGCAGTTCAGGGTTGTGGGCCAAAGGGTGGGAAGTGGGAATAGTGCAGATGGCTCGGCGCAGGCCAGATGGGCCAAAGAGCCCCTTCTGTGGCCCTATAAATGGCACCAGATGACACGGGGAAGGCGGGTCAGTGCCCAACAGGGAGAAAGAATTGGATATATATGTTGAAATGGGGCAAGATGTTGGAAGTCCCATCCCTAACAGTACTGTAACAGCCATGCAGCAAAATCTTCGCTAGGGCAATGAGAGATGGTCAACCAATACTGGCCCAGCCAGCAAAATGTGTGAGCGAGGACGGAAAGGGGGTGGGGGTCACGCGAGAGGCAAAGACCAGCACCGAATAGATGGGCCGGGTGGCCTGTTTCTGCATAAAGGTGGGACGTTGCTGGAGGGTTGATCGCGATTCGTTTGACATGAATCCGGCTGCAAAAGTTGCTGGAATCCGACGCTGCAACTCCTGAGTTCCGTTTCAGAAATGTCGAGGGAGGTGGGGAGGAAGCTGGGAGCTGGCCCGATCTCTTCTCGAACGCAGGAGAGGGGTTCTGAGGGCTATCCCCCCAGCTCGCTCAACTCATTCAGCCACTCGGGGGCGTGCTGGATGCAGCGTTCTCTGAAATCAGAGCAGAAAGGATCCACGTGAGTGCAAATACGTCTTGGCAAAACAAGCGCACGGTGAAAACGCAAAACAAGCTGGGGGGGAAATTTGCGGGAGAATGCCCTGAGCGGGTCTGGCAAGAGGTTTAAAAACAGAGCGAGCATTTCAGGTCCGGTGAGCCTTCTTATGAACACCATCCCGTTCCCAGCTGCTACCAGTTCTGAAGAAGGGTCACTGCACTCCAAACGCTAACTCCGCTTTCTCTCTCCACAGATGCTGCCAGACCTGCTGAGTTTCTCCAGCAATTTCTGTTCTGTTTTCACAATCTCCGGCGTCCGCGGTTCTCTGTCTCGTTTTAGCGCGCAAAATAAGCCACTGGGGAAAGTCTAACATTCACTTCTACAGCTTCCCAGCACTAGCACAGAGGTCCATTGGAGGTCACTTCTTGTCATTAGGGAGAGGGATTAGCTAATGGTATCGCATCATAGAGTCATACAGCATGGAAACAGACCCTTCGGTCCAACCAGTCCATGTTGAACATAATCCCAAACTAAACTAGTCCCACCTTCCTGTGCTTAGCCCTCATCCCTTCAAACCTTTCCTGTTCATCCAAATGGCTTTCAAACATAACTGCACCCGCATTCATCATTTCCTCTGGAAGCTCACTTCACACACAAACCACTCTCTATGTAAAATCAAATTGCCCGTTATGTCTTTTTTAAATCTTTCTCCTCTGACCTTAAAAATTTGCTTGCGAGTCTTGAAATCCCCCATCCCAGGGAGAAGACACCTGCTCTTCACCTTATCTATGTCCCTCATGATTTTATAAGCCTCTGCAAGGTCACCCCCTCAACCTCCTACGCACCAATGAAAAAAGTCCCAGCCTATCCAGCCTCTTCCCATAACTCAAATCCTCCATTCCCAGCGACATTCTGGCAACTCTCTTCTGAACCCTCTCCAGCTTAATAATATCCTTCCGATAACTGGGAGACCAGAAATAGACACAGTACAGTCGGTCCTGCTGTAACATGATAGTTGCGTTCCTGCACAGCATCGTATTATATAAAATTGTGCAAGAGAAATAACGGAGCCCATGGGAAAAGCTGGGTTAGGGGCAGACTACCAAAAAAAATCACTCAAAATCACTCAAAGATCATTCAAAAGCCTAACACAAAGGATAGCACAATTTGAATAAATGTTTAATTCATATTTATTAAAAAGTCATCCAGTTTTTGCTGCTTTGTCCTTTTTCTTCTTTCATGAAGAAGTTGTGTATCGGATGCCAAATAAGATCTTATTCCATGAACTGCTACCCTGCTGCGTTCTGCATTGTGATCGTTGTCCTCTAAGAGCTGCAACTGCTTCTCACTTTCCCTCAGGATGGAAGACAAAACAGAAGTGGAAAGCTCTCGTGGTGCTGCATCCTGAAATTTCATCTTCTTCATCTCCAGCTTCTACTTCCCCCTCAGCAACAAGTTGTTGTAGATCAGCTGTAAGAAAAAGACTTCACAGTGGGACTCGAGCAACTCTTCAACATCCTCACTCTCCACTTCTTCAAATCCAGCTTCCTTTGCAAGATCAACACAATGTTCTTTGATTCTTCGGAGCTCCTCTGACGGATCAAAGCTTTTAAAATCTTGAAATAAATCTGGGAGAAGCTTCCACCAAACTGCATGCAAGCCGTCCTTACTGACATCACCCCAGGCCTCCACAATGATGCTAGCAGCGTTCTTGATGTTAAAGCTCTTCCAAACTGGAAGAACACTGTCCTTATCCCCCTCAGTGGCTGCACTCAGCCTCTTAAATGTGCGCCTTAAATAATAAGCTTTAAAAGCTGCTATCGCACCCTGGTCCATGGGTTGAAAGAGGGAGGTGTGTGTTTGGGAGTAGTACTTTGATGTTTTTAGAAAGCTCACCGATGGTGGGAGGATGGCTTGACGCATTGTCCAGGATGAGAAGAATCTTGAAATCCAGTTTTCTTTTCCTTGCAATATTTTCCGAAAGCATCTTCCAAAACATCAACAGAAAAAAGTTGACCTGTCATCCAACTTCTTTTGCTTGACCTAAAGTAGATGCCGAGAGTAGGTAGCCTTTCAAGGCTCGCGGGTTTGTAGAGTGATATACCGCCACAGGATTAAGCTTTAAATCTCCACTGGCATTGGCACCCATCAGCACAGTCGTATGATCCTTTGCCACCTTAAAGCCTGGAGTCTGTGCTTCATTCATAGAAATGTAGGTCCTTGACGGCATTCGCCTCCAGTATAAACCTGACTCATCCAAATTGAAAAGTTGATCTAAGTTGTAGCCTTCTTCATCAATTAATTTTTTTTCACTATGGGAGGAAATGCCATCGCATGCTCCTCGTCTGCACTGGCACCTTGGTCACGTAACTTTACGTTATGAAAAGCATAGTTGTTCTTAAAAGCAGCATACCAGCGACTGCAAGCACGAAAGGCAGGCACACCTGCAGGATTTTTAAGATAACACGATGTGGAGCTGGATGAACACAGCAGGCCAAGCAGCATCAGAGGAGCAGAGAGGCTGACGTTTCAGGTCGAGACCCTTCTTCAGAAATGGGGGAGGGGAAGGGGATTCTGAAATAAATAGGGAGAGAGGGGGAGGCGGATAGAAGATGGATAGAGGAGAGGATAGGTGGAGAGGAGACAGACAGGTCAAAGAGGTGGGGATGGAGCCAGTAAAGGTGAGTGTAGGTGGGGAGTTAGGGAGGGGATAGGTCAGTCCATGGAGGACGGACAGGTCAAGGGGGTGGGATGAGGTTAGTAGGTAAGAGGTGGGGGTGGGGCTTGAGGTGGGAGGAGGGGATAGGTGGGAGGAAGAACAGGTTAGGGAGACGGCGACGAGCTGGGCTGGTTTGGGATGCGGTAGAGGGAGGGGAGATTTTGAAGTTTGTGAAGTCCACATTGAGACCATTGGGCTGCAGGGTTCCCAAGCGAAATATGAGTTGCTGTTCCTGCAACCTTCGGGTGGCATTGTTGTGGCACTGCAGGAAGCCCAGGATGGACATATCGTCTGAGGAATGGGAGGGGGAGTTGAAATGGTTCGCGACTGGGAGGTGCAGTTGTTTATTGCGAACCGAGCGTAGGTGTTCTGCAAAGCGGTCCCCGAGCCTCCGCTTGGTTTCCCCGATGTAGACTAGGCCACAACGGGAACAGCGGACACAGTATACCACATTAGCAGATGTGCAGGTGGAGATCTGTTTGATGTGGAAGGTCTTCTTGGGGCCTGGGATGGGAGTGAGGGGGGAAGGTGCAAGGGCAGGTGTAGCACTTCCTGCGGTTGCAGGGAAAAGTGCCGGGTGTGGGGGGCTGGAGGGGAGTGTGGAGCGGACAAGGGAGTCACAGAGAGAGTGGTCCCTCCGGAAAGCAGGTTAAGGGTAGGGAGGGAAAAATGTCTCTGGTAGTGGGGTCGGATTGCAGATGGCGGAAGTGCCGGAGGATGATGCGTTGGATCTGGAGGTTGGTGGGGTGGTACGTGAGGACGAAGGGGCACATATGTCTTCCCGGCACTTTTCCCTGCAACCACAGGAAGTGCTACACCTGCCCCTATACCTCCCCCCTCACCCCCATCCCAGGCCCCAAGAAGACCTTCCACATCAAACAGATTTTCACCAGCACATCTGCTAATGTGGTATACTGTATCCGCTGTTCCCGTTGTGGCCTACTCTGCATCGGGGAAACCAAGCGGAGGCTCGGGGACTGCTTTGTGGAACACCTACACTCGGTTCGCAATAAACAACTGCACCTCCCAGTCGCGAACCGTTTCAACTCCACCTCCCACTCCTTGGACGACATGTCCATCCTGAGCCTCCTGCACTGCCACAACAATGCCACCCGAAGGTTGCAGGAACAGCACCTCACATTTCGCTTGGGAACCCTGCAGCCCAATGGTATGAATGTGGACTTCACAAACTTCAAAATCTCCCCTCCCTCTACCGCATCCCAAAACCAGCCCAGATCGTCCCCACTTCCCTAACCTGCTCTTCCTCCCACCTATCCCCTCCTCCCACCTCAAGCCCCAACCCCATCTCCTACCGACTAACCTCATCCCGCCCCCTTGACCTGTCCGTCCTCCCTGGACTGACCTATCTCCTCCCTAACTCCCCACCTACACTCACCTGTACTGTCTGTCTCCTCTCCACCTATTTTCTCCTTTATCCATCTTCTATCCGCCTCCCCCTCTCTCCCTATTTATTTCGGAATCCCCTTCCCCTCACCCATTTCTGAAGAAGGGTCTAGACCAGAAACATCAACCTTCCTGCTCCTCTGATGCTGCTTGGCCTGCTGTGTTCATCCAGCTCTACACCTTATTATCTTCGATTCTCCGGCATCAGCAGTTCCCAAAATCTGTGCAGGATTTTTAACATGTTTTGTTAGATCTTCATAAATAGACAAGGCTTTGTCTTTTATGGTGAGAAGGATAGTCCCAGATCAGCTTCTCATTTGATCTTCTATCCACACACTTAGAAGCTACTCCATCTCCTCAAGTTCCTTGGTCCATGACCTCACAGATTTGCTAGTACTCCGAATTGTTCTAGCAATATAGCTTGCTTTAATCTTTGGGATAGTAAGAACTGCCAATGCTGGAGTCTGAGATAACACAGTGTGGAGCTGGAGGAACACAGCAGGCCAGGCAGCATCACAGGAGCAGGAAAGTTAACGTTTTGGGTCGGGACCCTTCTTTAGATTTCTGAAGAAGGGTCCCGACCCGAACGTCAGCTTTCCTGCTCCTCTGATGCTGCCTGGCCTGATGTGTTCATACAGCTCCACACTTGCTTTAATCTTTTCTGCATTGTCTCTAACAGTGCATAAGATTCCTCTATCCCTGTTACGCAAACTAAATCACATGTTCTCTCAATATGCCTAAAACGCTTAATAACATCCAGCTTCTCTTCCAGCCTTATAGCCTTTCTTTTACGTTCACCACCCACAATTTTATCACCAGGACGTTTCTTGCTAACATTCTTGTCACTTTGTCCTTGCATTTTTGAGGGTAACACAGCAGAGTTTGCGAAAACAAAACCCGAATATCACAGAGTACTGTACCTCTGACAGAACGCGCTTCGTGACAAGGTCTGAAAAATGATCACGTGATGCTGACAGAGACTCTCCCAGCGCTAACATTGAGCGTGCTCAGGACAAACGATCGTGTGACTCCCCTGCGCACTGACGGAATCGCGTTACGGCCAATGCAAGTTCACGTTTTAGAAATAGCGCTCCCCTACTCGTCACTCGCGTTATAACCACTTCGCGTTGCCGGAGAGCTCGTTATAGCAGAACTGACAGTAATCCAGAAGAGGCCTCACCAACGTCATGTACAATCTCAACACAACATCCCAACTCCTGTACTCAAAGGTCTGAGCAATGAAGACAAGCGTGCTAAATGCCTTTTTAACCACCCTGTCTACTTGTGATTCAAACTTCAGAGAGTTATGTACACGAACCCCTGGGACTCTCTGTTCTACATCACTACCCAAGGCCCCACTTTTAATTGTATTGAGTCTGGTCTTTGTTCGTTTTACCAAAATGTAATATCTCACATTTACCCAAGTTAAACTCCATTTGCCACTCTTCAGCCCATTGATCAAGATCTCTTTGTAATCTTAGAAAGCCTTCTCCACTGTTCTCTTTGAATTTTCCCAAGGGATGAGGGCCAGTTCCTTGCCCTCTTGACCGGGATGGGTATGAGGTGCTGTTAACTCCTTCTATCTGCTGTTGATACAGCCACAGCTTTGAATTTGGAGACCCTAGGATATTGGCCAGCTACAGACAGTTGGTGGGGAGGGTGGGGTGTTAACATGGCTAGTTCCTGTGCAGTAAGAAACCACAGATCAACCGCTTTGCTGTGGGTCTGGAGTCACATGTAGACTTGACCAGGTAAGTTCCTTACCTGGAGACTTTAGTGAACCAGATGGGGTTTTACGCTCAACAATCATGGGTCATCATTAGACTCTCAGTTTGTTTTTTTATTGAATTCAATTTCAACCATCTGCAGTCTCTGGATTAACAGTGCAGCGATAATACCACTGGGTCACCGCCTGTTCAATCCAGAGACTTGCCTCTACGTACAGGTCTCTGCAAGACTCCAATCAATACTGTGTTAAGGGAAAAGACATCAACAAGGGGAAAAGGGTGTGGGTGGATGGGGGTGGCAGGGGGCTTTGCCTTTTGACCCACTGAGAAAGGAGGGAATTCCCTCCCACTTTGAGACCTAAGAACCACGGGATGAAGTTCGAGCCCATGTTTCCAGCTGAGGCATACTGAGACAAAAGCTGGATAGAAATAATCGATAAATTTAACGAGATAGGTAGGACACCAATCGGTGATAAAAGCATCTAAAGATAAAGATTTGTGCAGAACCTGGACATAATCATTCAAAACTCAATGGCAGCTCACAGGAAAAACAATAAGAAGTTCCACATGGAGAATATAAGAACAGAAAATGCTGGAGGAACTCAGCAGGTCTGGCAGAGAGAAATATTTCGCGTCTGATTGGCTAAGCCTAAGTAACTGGGCTGTGGAGTTTAATGTGGGAAAATGTGAAGCCCGCTTTGGAAGGGTGAACAAAAGAACAGTATTATTTATGTGGAGAAGTCTGCAGAAAGTTACAGCACAAATGGACTTGTGTGTGAAACACAGAAAGTTAGCACACAGGCACAACAGATAATCAGGAAGACTACAGGTAGGTAGGTTGTTGAGTAAGGTTAAATCTCACTGGATCCAGAGAGAGCTATCCAACTGGATACAAAATTGGCTTGATGATAGGAGACAGAGGGTGGTGGTAGAGGCTTGTTTTACAAACTGGAGGCCAGTGGCCAGCAGCGTTCCGCAGGGATTGGTGCTGGATCCACTGTTATTCATCATTTATATCAATGATGTGGATGAGAATTTAAGGGGTATGGTTAGTTTGCAGGATGACATCAAGACTAGTGTTATAGTGGACAGTGAATAAGGTTATTTTGGAAAGCAGAGAGATCTTGATCAACTGGGCCAGTGGGCTGAGGAATGGCAAACGGATTTTAGTTTAGATAAAAGTGTCTCATTTCGGTGGGTCAAACCAGGGCAGGACTTATACAGTCAATGTTAGGGTCCTGGGGAGTATTAAAGATCTAGGGGTACAGGTTCATAGCTCATTGAGTCACTAGTAGATAGGACCATGAAGAAGGCTTTAAGCATACTAGTTTTCATGTTCAGACCGTTGAGTATAGGAGTTGGGGCGTCTTGTTGTAGCTGTACAAGATGTTGGTGAGGCTACCTTTGGAGTACTGCATGCAGTTCTGGTTGCCTTACTATAGAAAGGATATTATTAAACTAGAAAGAGCGCAGAAAGGGTTTACTAGGATGCCACCTGGACTGGAAGGCTTGAGTTATAAGGAGAGACTGCATGGGCTGGGACATTTTTCCCTGGAGCGTAGGAGACCAAGGGGTGGCCTTATAAAGGTCTATAAAATCATGAGAGGCATAGATAAGGTAGATAGCCAACAGCTTTTCCCCAGTGTATAGGAGGTTAAATCTACAGGGTACAGCTTTAAGGTCAGAGGGAAGAGATATTAAAAGGGTCCAGAGGGGCAATTTTTTTTCACACACAGAGGATGGTGAGTGTCTGGAATGTGCTGCCAGAGATAGTGGTGGAGGCGAGTACAATTTAGTCATTTCGGAAACATTTGGACAGGTACATGGATGGGATGGGTATGGAGGGCCATGGAGCAAACACAGGCAAATGGGACTAGATTAAATGTGAAAACTAGGCGACACAGACAAGTTGGGCTGAAGGGCCTGTTTCCATGCTGTAGACCTCTATGACTCTATAGATCAGCACGGTGGCTCAGTGGTTAGCACTGCTGCCTCACAGCACCAGGGACCCAGGTTCCATTCCACCCTTGGGCAACTGTCTGTGTGGAGCTTGCACATTCTCTCCATGTCTGCGTGGGTTTGCTCCGGTTTCCTCCCACAGTCCCAAGATGTGCAGGTTAGGGTGGATTGGCCGCGCTAAGTTGCCCGTAGTGTTCAGGGATATGTAGATTAGGGGGATGGGTCTGGGGGGATGTTCTGAGGGTCGGTGTGGATTTGTTGGGCCAAAGGACCTGTTTCCCCACACTGTAGTGAGCCTATGAGAATGTTGGCCCTTGTTTCAAGGGGTTGGAATATAAGAGTCGGGAAGTCTTACTGCTGCTGTACAAGGTGCTAGTGAGACCACATCTGGAGTACTGTGAGCAGTTTCGGTCCCCTTATTTAAGGAGAGGATATTATTTCATTGGAGGCAGTTCAGAAAAGGTTCATTGGAATGATCTTTGGTATGGAATGATTTTGAGCAAAGGTTAAACAGGTTGGGACTCTACTCACTGGAATTCAAAAGAATGTGAGGTGATCTGATTGAAATATACAGGATTTTTTAAGGGACTTGACAAGGGTAAATGCTGAGAGGATGTTTCCTCTCATGGGAGAGTCTAGGACAACAGGGCATAGCCTCAGAATGAAAGGGCATCAATTTAAGACTGGGATGAGCAGGAATTTAGTCTCGTCATCATAAAATCCCTACAGTGTGGAAACAGGCTATTCAGCCCATACCGACCCTCTGAAGAGCATCCCATCCAGGCTCACCTGATCTCTGTAGTCCTGCATTTCCCATGGCTAACCAATCTAGCCTGCACATCCCTGGAAACTACGGGCAATTTAGCATGGCCAATCCACCTAACCCGGACATCTTTGGACTGTGGGAAGAAACCGGAGCACCCAGAGGAAACCCACACAGACAGGGGGAGAATGTGCAAACTCCACACACAGTCACCCCGAGGGTGGTATCGAACCCAGGTCCCTGGCGCTGTGAGGCAGTAGTGCTAACCACTGAGCCAGCCTGGAGAGTCTTTGCAACTCCTTGCCACAGAGAGATCTGTGGAGGCAGAGTCTTTGCGTATAATTAAGGCTGAGAATGGCCTCCTCCTGCTCCGATTTCTTTACGGACATGGACCTAGCAGCAGCCACGCCCACTGCTTACCAGAGTAACAGATGAAAGCAAACTTATAATCGCAAGGCACGTCCTTCCAGTGCTCGTTGACCATGATAACACAGACGGGCATCGCAGTGAATTCCATGGGGTAGAAGGAGTCCCAATTGAAGAAGGTGGCTGGTTCCCCGTTGGTCCACATCCAGCCGTACTCAGACTGGTGTTCGTTGAACAGGCCAATCCAGGCGGCCAGGTCCACCTTGAGGAGCTTGGCGACTTTGCGGTTCTCTGACATGTGCTGCACGCTGAGCAGGTCAGTGTGCTGGGCCCGGCAGTAATCCTGCGCCTCACTCCACGTTTTCTCTTTCTTGACAAGGATGTAGTTCCGCTTGGGGAAGTTCACATCCTGGATTCCACCTGGAGGAAAGACATAAGACCATAAGACCATACGACCATACGACCATAAGACAATAGGAGCAGAAAGTAGGCCATTCGGCCCATCGAGTCTGCTCCACCATTCGATCATGGCTGATAAGTTCCTCAACCCCATTCTCCTGCTTTCTCCCCATAACCCTTGATCCCCTTGATAATCAAGAATCTATCTATCTCAGTCGTAAATGTACTCAATGACCTGGCCTCCACAGCCTTCTGTGGCAGTGAGTTCCATAGATTCACCACTCTCTGGCTGAAGAAGTTTCTCCTTATCTCCGTTCTAAAAGGTCTTCCCTTTACTCTAAGGCTGTGTCCTCGGGTCTTACGAATGGAAGCATCTTCCCAACGTCCACTCTGTCCAGGCCATTCGGTATTCTGTAAATTTCAATTAGATCCCCCCTCACCCTTCTAAACTCCATTGAATATAGACTCAGAGTCCTCAAGCGTCCTTCAAATGAAAGGGGAGAGGTCAGGAAGACAGGCCTGCACACCCACCCCCCTGCTCACTTAGGCTGGGTTTCGACGGCCGGAAGAAGGGGAATGTGCAGAAGGCTGTCGCAACGTGGGCTGAGAACAGAGACCGGACTTACTGGCAGCCAAACCCTTTTCCAAGACTCTGTGTGGCTGCTTCTCGTCACCATCGTTGGCAGAAGGTTTTTCAGAGACTAACTGAGGCCTGGATGTCTGCTCACCGGCGTGTTCTGCAAGCTCTGTGGACACAGAAGCGATTTTATTCAAATGCCTCTTGTGTGGAAAGAAACTTTGTCCCTTATTTGTTGTCCTCCTAGCCCCCTCCCATCTCAAATTGTAGAGCATTGTTTGGCATCAGCCCTCAATGTGCTGTATGTTTGACTACGGACTGAAATGCAAAAACAAAAATGAAAAGACTCTTTCAAAACCAAAGGACGATGGAAAGAATTGTTGCGGTTTTGCAAACAGGTTCCGAAAGCTCATTGTGTGTGGTGTTTGCACAGCTTCTTTGTTCAAGCACTGGGGGGAGGGGTAGCTGTTTGTAGTCAGCACAACACTAGGGGGTGTGTCCAAAATGGGATTTGGCCAGCAACAGGTCGCTGATTGGTTTCTGCAATTATGACCAGTTGTATATTCAAAAGTCAAAGGCTAGGCAACAACCCTCGGATTTGTTCTTCTGGATGGTTGAATAGTTTCTGTAGGTGTGAAAAATTCACTGAGAAACCTTCAGAGAGCTGGAGCTCTCTCTCTCTCTCTCTGTGCAGTACAAACACCTGAAGCTTGAAGAAAGCTGCATATTTCCTCTGACCAGTTGTGTGTTTAACCAGTAATCAAGAGACTTTGTAGTTAGTGTATCAATTGCCCAGTGCCTTCTACAAAGAAGTGAAAGAACCTAACGAAAGGAGGTTGAAGATCAGAAAGTCTTGGCCTGTAAAGGAACATCTCAACAGACCCTGCAGACTGAAGTTATTGTGATGTGGTTCCCATTCTTCTTCCCATCTACTCATAAAACTGACGTCTTTTGATTCTCTGTTTGTGTGCGGGCATGTATATGTGTGTGTGTGAGTATGTGTGTGCATGTATATGTATGCATGTGTATTTGTGTGTGTCTTCACGCATACTTGTTTGTGCATCTGTGTGCATGCGCGCAGATGTTTTAAAAGGTGTTAGAGCTTTACTGAGTACAGCCAGATGTTTGACAATTCATAGCTGTTTTATCAGGTTCGATTCCACCCTCGGGCAACTGTCTGTGTGGAGTTTGCACATTCTCCCCATGTCTGCGTGGGTTTCTGCTGAGTACTCTGGTTTCCTGCCACTGTCCAAAGATGTGCAGATTAGGGTGGATTGGCCACGCTAAGTTACCCCATAGTGTCCAGGGATTTGCAGGCTAGGTGGCTTAGCCATGGGAAATGGGGAATTACAGGGATAAGGTAGGTCTGGGTGGGATCCTCTTCAGAGGTCAGTGTCGACTCAATGGCCTGCTTCCACACGATAGAGATTCTATGATTCTACTCGTGATTAAAGTGTGCTTATTTGTAATAAATAGTGGTGCTTTCTATGTACCAGAACCAGGTTTACTGCGGGCAAACTGCAGACTTTCATGCTTTGGTTACCTTATTAACTTCTGTCATGACCCCCCCACCCAGGCTTGAAAGTCAGTGCAAATTCCCAAGTGGGTGCTAAGGCCAGGGACACTGTTCCCCTGTGTTTTCTCCCTTTCTTCCAGCTTGGTTCAGTCAGCTGGGCAGCTGGTCTGCAATAAAGAATGATTTCAACAGCAACAGGTTCGATTCCAGTGCACACAAAGACGCTGCCTTCTCAACCTCGCCCGAGGCCTGGTGACCCTTAGCTTAAACTCACCACGAGTCACTCCTCTGTAAAGAGAGAGGGAGAGAGAGCAGCGGTCTGGGGCTACAACGGCTTTATAATGTTTTGCCCAGCCGAAAGCAATGGGCATTGGTCTGGCGCAGGTCTTCCCAAAGTTGGGAGGATTGGGAGACGTGATATTGGGAGCTCAAGCAGAGTCATGGTCCTTCGCAAGCCCTCCCCTCTGCCCTCACACCGTCGGGAGAAGCTAGCAGCCAATTCACACTCGATGAGATGCCGCTAACATTGACGCGACCAGCAGATTGTCGGCTCCTTTTTTTTGTGACTGACTCGCGCTGTGTGAAGAGTTGTTGAACCTGGATGAAATCCTCCCCTCTCATGCCCCTTAATCGAGAACAGTAACCCCTTGGCCATCTTCCACATACACTGAGAGGGCAAATGAAGCTCTCAGCTTAATATTTCTACCCCCCCCGAGGCTGCGTGCACAGAGCAGCACTCCCACTATACTCCATTTGATGGGGGAAGAATATTGCGATTGGCCTAGACTTTTCACGCTGTAGACTTTGTTTGGGGGGAGATAAGAACTCAGGACCTCCCTGTTTTCGACGCCCCGTGTTCTAATAAGGTAAAAGTTGCCTGGGAAACCGTTACAAATACTGTGGGTGCTGGAGATCGGAGATGAAATTGAAAAGTTGCTGGAGAAACTCAGCGGGTCTGACGGCAATGGTGGAGAGACAAACAGAATTAACGTTTCGAGTCCAGAATGACTCCTCTTTGGAACTGTAAAGGGTTCGAAATGTGCACTTTTTAATACTTAAGATGGGGAGGAGCAAGTGGAACAGATTGTATGGGTGACCAGAGCCAAAAGCAGATGGGTTGTTGGTGGTGGAGAAGTCGAGATGTGAACTGGGGCTCAAATTAAGGAATGCAAAGGAGAAATTGGGTCCCCTTTGGGTGTATTTATGGGGTTGGGTGGTCGTAGGGTGTAAGAAAACCATTAAGGATGCTAAGGGCACGCTCTGAAGTTGTGGAACTCTATCAGAAGGAAGTTATTAAACTGGAAAGGGTGCACAAAAGATTCACAAGGATGTTATCCAGACTGGAATGTTTGAGTTATAAGGAGACTTTTCTCCCTGGGGAGTAGCGGAGGCTTAGGGTGGTGGCCTTATAGAGGTTTATAAAACCATGATGGGCATGGATAGGGTGAAAAGTCAAGGTCTTTTGTCCTAAGGTGGGGGAATCCAAAACTAGAGGCTGAAGGCGAGAGGGGAAAGGGGCGAAGCTTTCACGCAGAGGGTGGCACGTGTATGGAACGAGCTGCCAGAGGAAGTGGTGGAGGCTGGTACAATTCCAAAGGCTTTAGGGCAGGTAGATAGATTGAGAGGGATTATGGGCACGCAAACGGTGACGGGTTTAGTTTGGGACGCCCGGTCGGCATGGCTGAGTCTGGTTTCCATCTGCATGGGGTGAGCAGTCTGCAGCGTGCCTTTACCGGTGTAACACACGAAGGGGAACAGGAAGCGGCAGGGGGCATCACTCCATTTGCCCTCCTGGACGTAGACGCAGACCGGGGCCATGATGTTGTAGCGGTAAGGGTTCCCCGGCTTCCAGTTGGTGTAGCTGACGGGGTCACCGTTCACCCACTTCCAGCCAGAGCTTGTCTTCTGGTCATTGTACAGGCCGCACCAGCCCAGCTTGATGTCCTCGTACAGGCTACTGGCAGCTGCATTCTCCTGTTTGCTGCGAATACTCAGCAGCCCCGTGTGATGGAGCTGGCAGTAATCGCGAGCATCTGACCAGGTCATCTCCAGCTGGATCTTGTGGTACATCCTCTTGGAGCCAGCTCCTGGAAGAAAAGAGGATCACACAAAACTGAGGTTTCCATTCATCTCCGGAATATCTCCCCCAACGGTCAGCCTTCCCGACACGCCATTCCCCAAACTTCCACCCCCCGCCCACCTGCCCAAACCTGACCACTGCCTCACCCACTCATGAATTGACCAACAGAAAAAGCTCGCTGTTCATCGCGTTGCAAAAATTGTCAAAGACAAAGGCATCATTGCCCTGCAGAATGCTACGGTACAGAGGAATGTGGTTGTACCAATGAATGGATCATGGGAAAAGGGATTCATTGATGGGATTTATCCAGCATTCACTGCCCGTCCCCTCGGTTGTTTTTGAGAAAGTGGCGGTGAGCTTCCTTCCTGAGCCGCTGCAATCCATGTTCGCATGCTGTCCGGGAAGGAATTCCAGGATTTTGACCCAGCGACAGTGAAGGAATAGGCAATATATTTCCAAGTCAGGATGGTGAGTGGCTTAGAGGGGAACGTGCAGGTGCTGGTGTTCCCACACGTTTGCTGCCCTCGTCCTTCCAGTGATCCTGGGTTTGGAAGGTGCTGTGAGAGGATCTTTGGTGAATTTCTGCAGTGCATCTTGTAGATAGTACACACTGCTGCTACTGGGCATCGGTGGTGGAGGGAGTGGATGCTTGTGGATGTGGTGCCAATCAAGCGGGCTGCTTTGTCCTGGATGGTGTCAAGCTTCTTGAGCGTTGTTGGGGCTGCACCCATCCATCACATTCCTCACTTGTGCCTTGGACGGGCTTTGGGGAGTCAGGAGATGAGTTACTCACTGCAGGATTCCAGACGTCTGACCTTTCCTTTTAGGAAAGCATTTATATGGCCAGTCCATTTTTTTGTAGAATTCATTCACAGGACAGACATTGCTGGTCAGGCCAGCATTTATTGCCCATTCCTAGTTCCATTTAAGAATCAACCATGTTTTTGTGGGCCTAGAGTCACACGTAGGCCAGGCCACGTAAGGATCCTTTCCTAAGGGGCATGAATGAACTCGATGGGTTTTTCCTGACAACGGATTCTTAGACATCATTACACATTTAAGTCCAGACTCTAAGGCTTTGGAGTAGATCTGTAGCTCGGGTTTTGGTTGTTGAGGTTGGTTGACTTGCCGAACTGGTTTGTTGTTCAGCAGACGTTTCATTACCCTGCTGGGTAACATCCTCAGTGCAGCCTCCGATGAAGCGTCGGTGTGTTTTCCCGCCTGGTTTTTAAACTCTGGAGTCCGTTGAGCTGGATTGCCTCACTTCCAGTTTTCCTTCGTAGTGGAGTGTATCTGGGGTTGAGTTCTATGTGTCTATTGATGGCTTTCTTCATGGAGTACCAGGCTTCTAGGAATTCCCGTGCCTGTCTCTGCTGAGCTTGTCCCAGGATTTTGGTGTTGTCCCAGTCGAAGTAGTGGTTCTCCTTATCCATGTGGATTGAGATGAGTGAGTATTAGTCGTGTCTTTTTGTAGCCAGTTGGTACCCTTGTTGTTAGTTTCCTTCCCGTTTGTCCGACGTAGTGTTTCTCACAGTCTCTGCAGGGAATCTTATAGATGACATTGGTCCTGTCCATGGCGGGAAGTGGGTCTTTAGTTCGGGTGAGCAGTTGTCGTAGGGTTGATATGGGCTTGTGTGCCACTCTGATGCCCAGCGGTCACAGGAGTCTTGTGGTCAGTTCCGATGTGTTCCTAATGTAGGGTAGTGTGATGAGTGTGTCGGGGCGTGTAGTATCTTCCTGATGTTGTTCGTGTAGGCATCTTCTGACCCAGTACTCCACTTCATCGGAGGCTGCACTGATGACGTTACCCAGCAGGGTAATGAAATGTCTGCGGAACAACAAACCAGCTCGGCGAGCAAACCAACCTTAAGTCCAGATTGCTTTTATTAAATTAATATAGCCATCTTCCAGTGAAACTGATTAACAAACCAGAACTACAATTCTATAGCGCCCTAGGTAAAACAATCCAGGGCACTTTGCAGGAGCACTGAGGAGCAAAGTTACAATGATATTGTGGCACAAGGCCGGTACTTCAGTCAAAGACGTTGGTTTTTAGGGACTTTTCTTTAAAGTGGGGAGGTGCTGAGGTTTCAGGAGTAGATGGCTCCTGAAAGGAGTGCAGAGATCCCAGAGGGCGAGAGGAGATGACAGAGGTAAAGAGGAGCGAGGTCAGGGAAGGACTGGAAAACAAGGGTGAGAACTTGAGAAAGCAGAGCTCGGGAGGCTCAGTGAGCACTTGGGGTCATGAGCGAGCAGGACTCGGCCATGTATTAGGACGGGCAGAGCAGGGCTTTGGTTGAGTTGGAGTTGACAGAGGGTAAATAGTGAGATTGGATTAGCCAGTCAAACTGGAGGATGAGGTTTTCAACAACAGATGAGCTGAGGGAGGTGAGGGGGGATTGGTGAGGGGCAAACTCGGGCTACATTGCAGAGGTGGAAATAGACGATCCCAGCAATGGCACGAATGTAACTTTTCAGGGATGTGAGGGAATAGGTGAGAGTGTGGAGTTAGGGATCCAATCAGGCCATGACTCTGAGCTCTATGACATTGGCATGGAACCACAGATTCATAGAGTCATACAGCACGGAAACAGACCTTTCAATCCAACCAGTCCATGCTGAACATGATCCCCCAACTAAACCTGCCTGCTCCTGGGCTCGTATCCCTCCGAACCTTCCCTGTTCGTGTACTGATCCAAATGTCTTTTAAATGTGCCTATGTGCACCACCTCCTCCGCAAGTTCATTCCTCTGTGTGGTCCTGTCCCTCCCTTCCACAGCTCCGACCAGGGCGACGCTACAATCCCCCATGCGAAGCAGACTCAGAAAGTGAATTCTGCCGGGTGCTCGAGATGTTTCCTACCGGCATTCGCAGCAGCACTGTGGTTTGTGACCTTTTTCGGAGCGGAAGGGATTTCACCGTTCGCGGGCTGTCTCAGTTTTGCAGGCTGTCTGACTTTCGCAGGCCTGATCTCCCCCTTGGTTTTCAGGTCTGTGGAGACAGAAACGTCATAAAGGGCTCAACTTCCAAAGCCAACTCTGACTCAGCCGCGGAACGCATGGGTCACGTGAGAGTTGTCTGAAATGGACGGGAACAGAAACTCAGCCCAAAGGGGCCGATGTCGGAGGTGGGGGTGGGGGGTGGGGGTTCCACGCGAGCCTCCTTTTGTGAGCTGTGGGTATCAACGGCTGGGATGGCGTCTGTCACCCACCCCACACCCCCCTCCCTAGTTGCCCCCCTTGAGAAGATGGAGGTGAGCTGCCTTTTGAACCGCTGCAGTTCGGAGACACTGTAAGTCACGTCTCTACAAGACCATGGGGCCGCTCTCTCATTCAATAGAGAGGCGGCTGGCAGTGATTTAAGCTGAGGGTCACCAGGCTTCGGGCAAGGGGAGAGAGAGATTGAGAAGGAGAGTCCCTCGTGGTATCCTAAGCTGGCAATGGGAATTGAACCTCCCCTCACCCCACCCCCCCACCCTACCTACTGTTGGCATCATACTGCTTCACACTGGAGGCACACCCGCAGCGGCCTTATGGAGGGAAATTTGAGCCAGTGGCAGTAAAATAGCTTCAAGTCGGGATGGTGGGCGATGGAGGGGAGCTTGCAAGAGCCGGTGGTGGTCCCATGTAGCGACTGCCCTTGGGCTTTCTAGGTGGTAGAGGCCATGGATTTGGTAGGTGACGTCGGGAGTTAGGGATATATGCTGCCTGCCACCCATCCCAGGGCTCCAAAGGAGAGCAACTCCACTGAGTAAGCCCTACCAGCTGATACCCTTCGGATTGTGGAATGGGAAATACAGAAAGCCGCGACCAAGTTCCTTGTGCCAAACCCCATCTGTCCAATGGCAGGCTTCAACTACGATAGCGACAGTGGTCTCTGACTAACAGGTCATGGAGAGAGAGAGTCCCTCCGCCTCCAGGACTGTATACACTCCTTATGCACATGTGGAGAGCCACAAACAACGCTTTGGATTTGCGTTCGCTGACTAAATCGTAGCTATTTTGTCTGGGGGTTCCTGCTAGTTGTGCATTCCACACTCTCACACCCTCTGGGTCAGGAACCTACTCCCAAATTCCCTACCGGATTTACCAGCGACAATCTTAATATTTCTAACACATCCTGCCTTATGTGCACTTTCACTCCTTAGTAGGTCAGGATTCAAAATTCAGTGCTGTCTTTTTGTGTTGTCTAGTTCAAGCAAAATTCTACTGGTCAGGAAGAGTCTGAACAGATTGGGCACCTCTCCCAAGAAAAGGTCTTTAATTTGCTCGTGGGATCTGAGTGCCGCCAGTTTGGCCAGCTTTTGGTACCATCCCTAATTGCCGAGAGGGCAGTTAAGGGTGTAGCCTTTAGGACCAGCCTTTTATGAGGCTAGCTCCTTTATTGAACTCACTTCTCATCAATTGCCCTGATACAGTTCAAAGTCCTATCCCCAGGACATTAACCCAGGTTCTGGATTATTAGCCCAGCAATGTTACCACTGCAATGTCACCTTTATCTAACTCATTACCGGGATGGGGCTAGAGATGATTCCAAGGTCGTGGCTCAGTGGGTTCACACTGCTGCCTCACAGCGCCAGGGGACACAGGTTCGATCCCACCCTCGGGTGACTGTCTGTGTGGAGCTTGTACTTTCTCCCCGTGTCTGCGTGGGTTTCCTCCGGGTGCTACGGTTTCCTCCCACAGGCCAGGGTGGATTGGCCGCGTTAAATTGCCTGTAGCGTTCAGGGACGTGTAGATAGGTTACAGGGAAAAGGGTAACAGGTCTGGATGGGGTGCTCCCAGGGTCGGTGTGGACTTGTTGGGCCAAAGGGCCCATTTCCACACTGTAGGGGTTCTAGGAAGTGGGAGATCTTCCAAAACTACAGCAACTATAGGACAGATATGTCATAAATAATTACTAACTGTTCTAATTCTGCAGAAACCTCTATACCCAGAGAACTCGCTAGCACTGGGGGGACATTACAGAGAAATTGTACAGATCAGTTACAGGAGAGACAAAAGGAATTGTGTGGTAAGTTGACAGGCCAAGATGATATCGAGTGGGAGGTGATTGGAGCCCAAATGCTAGCACAGACCAGCTGTACTGTGCAATATTCATGGGATTCACTGTCACAGAAGGCTGTGGAGGCCAGGTCATTGAGTACATTTAAGACTGAGATAACTAGGTTCTCGATTATTAGGGGGATCAAGGGTTACGGGGAGAAAGTGGGAAAATGGGGTTGAAGAACTTATCAGCCATGATTGAGTGGTGGAGCAAACTCGATGGGCCAAATGGCCTAATTTCTGCTCCTGTGTCTTATGGTCTTATGATTCAGTGTAAGTGATCACCTTTGTAGCAGATGAAGGCAAACGGGAAATCGCAGTCTGCTTCATGCCATTCACCGTCGAGTATGGCGCCACACATGGGCAGGGTGGCGTTGAAGGTGTAGGGGTGCCAGAGGGCCCATTTGGTGTAGCTGACCTTGTCTCCATTAGCCCACATCCACCCAGAGAGCCCGTCGTTGTAGAGCCCGATCCACTGGGGCTCGTGCGGCAGCGACGCGATGATCCGAGCATCCTCTGCATTCCTCACGCTCACCAGGTTGGTGTACTGGCTGCGGCAGTGGTTCCAGGCCTTCGTCCAGGTCTTCTCGTCCTCGATGAGGAAGTAAATCCTGTCCACGGTCATGATGGGCTGGAACCGAGCTGAAAGGAATATTTCACAGCGTTTACCACAGCGATTGATCCGGGGGTTGGGGGGGTTCATAGAATCAAGGACACTTGGCCCTTCGGCCTACTGCCAGCCTTTCATAGGACCATCCAATGAGCCCCACTCCTCTCTGTTCCTTCCCTATCGGCTCGGCACCTCCTTTCTATTGCAATTCATTACACAACTCCCTTTCAAAAGTTCCCATTGAATCTGCTTCCACCCCGCCCTATGCAAATATAACCTTCCCATCACCCCCTCTGACTCTGCGGCAACGGTCGTTATGATTTGGTACCTTCCAGAACCATGGATGAGCTCACCTTGCGCTTAGAAAATGTTGTCATTGGACTGACGGTCGGGGTTGCGGGGGTGGGGGGTCCCATTCAGTACTGACCCTTTGAACGAGCAGTTATGCCTAATCCCACATCCCCATTTTCTTCTAAAGGCCTCGGGCCTAGTAAGCTCCTTCCTCGTCCATGACCTCTTTCCCAATTATTAATGGAATCAGCGCTCAGCACCTTTACAGGTGATGTTTTCTCAGCAAAGCTGAGTGAAAAACGCTCCTCTCGTTAGGTCCCCTACTTCCTTTGCCAATGTTTTTGAACCTTGGGCCACCATCCTGTTGACTCTCTCGCCAAAGGCAATAAGTTCTCTCCACTTCCTTAGATCAAGACCTTGGCTTGATTGGCTAAGTCATCCACATAGCGACATCACAGACTCCTCCTTTCCGAGGAGAATACGGCTAACATTTCCAATCTCTTTTCCCACTTCACAGCTAAGATACTGAGATGATTAAACACTGAGGAAAGACCGCAATGTTTGAACTTTTAACTTTACTTAAGAACATAAGAACTAGGAGCAGGAGTAGGCCATCTGGCCCCTCGAGCCTGCCCCGCCATTTAATAAGATCATGGCTGACCTTTTTGAGACTCAGTTCCACTTACCCGCCAGCACATCATAACCCTTAATTCCTTTACTGTTCAAAAATTTGCCTAGCCTTGCCTTAAAAACATTCAGCGAGGTAGCTTCAACCGCTTCACTGGGCAGGAAATTCCACAGATTCACAACCCTTTGGGTGAAGCAGTTCCTCCTGATCTCAGTCCTACATCTGCTTCCCTTTATTTTGAGGTGATGCCCTCTAGTCCTAGTTTCACCTGCTAGCGGAAACAACCTCCCTGCCTCCACCTTATCTATTCCCTTCATAATCTTATATGTTTCTATAAGATCTCCCCTCATTCTTCTGAATTCCAATGAGTATAATCCCAGCCTACTCAGTCTCTCCTCATAATCCAACCCTCTCAACTCTGGAATCAACCGAGTGAATCTCCTCTGCACGCCCTCCAGTGCTAGTATATCCCTTCTCAAGTAAGGAGACCAAAACTGCACACAGTACTCCAGGTGTGGCCTCACCAGGACCCTATACAGCTGCAGCATAGCCTCCCTGTTTTTAAACTCAATCCCTCTAGCAATGGCAGACAAAATTCCATTTGTCTTTTTAATTACCTGCTGCACCTGCAATCCTACTTTTAGCGATTCATGCACAAGGACACCCAAGTCCCTCTGCACAGCAGCGTGCTGCAATTTTTTACCATTTAAAACATAGTCCATTTTGCTGTTACTCCTACCAAAATGGATGACCTCACACTTATCAACATTGTACTCTATCTGCCAGACCTTTGCCCACTCACTTAGACTATCTATATCCCTCTGCAGACTTTCAGTGTCTTCTGCACACTTTGCTCTACCACTCACCTTAGTGTCATCTGCAAATTTTGACACACCACACTTAGTCCCCAACTCCAAATCATCTATGTAAATTGTAAACAATTGCGGTCCCAACACTGATCCCTGAGGCACACCACTAGCCACTGACCGCCAACCAGAAAAACACCGATTTACCCCTACTCTTTGCTTTCTACTGGTCAACCAATCCTCTATCCATGCCAATACATTACCTGTAATACTGTGCAACTTTATCTTGTGTAGCAGCCTTTGATGTGGCACCTTGTCAAATGCCTTCTGGAAATCCAGATACACTACATCCACAGGTTCCCCATTGTCCACCATGCAAGTAATGTCCTCAAAGAATTCCACCAAATTAGTTAAACATGACCTGCCCTTCATGAACCCATGCTGGGTGTTCCCAACGGGACAATTTATATCCAGATGTCTTGCTATTTCTTCCTTAATGATAGATTCAAGCATTTTCCCCACTACCGAAGTTAAGCTAACTGGCCTATAGTTATCTACTTTTTGTCTACTTCCTTTTTTAAACAGTGGCGTCACATTGGCTGTTTTCCAATGTGCGGGAACCACCCCAGAGTCCAGTGAATTTTGGTAAATACTTCTTTATTTGTTGCGCGATACTAAGAGCGACTGTGATGTTTAACAGTTAACTTTGTTCCTTATTTCTTTCTGTCTTGTTCTTAAGTTTTTGTACCTATGTACTTGTAGCTAAGATGCTGCTATGTGTACTCCTTTGACTTTGTACACGAGTAGATGTGACAATAAAGTCTGAATCTAAATAAACCTGAGTTGTAGCAATTTTTGATCAACCAGAGAGTTATGGAGGGGACAACATAAAGGGAGGGGAAGGGTCAAAGTGGAGTTAAAGCCATGATCTTGTGGGATGGCAGGAGTAGTCTCAAGGGGCCGAATGGCTTATTTCCGTTTCTGATTCTCCCGTTTTTGTGGAGTCCCCTGACGTGCCCCTTCTAAAGCCTGAATATCTCTTCCCCATCAACAAATGGACCAAACGCAGAACCGATCGCAGGCAAATCATGGAGTTTAGTCTTGTTTCGAAGCATGCTTACTTTGTTTAAAATGCCTTTTATTTATGACATCCAACGAACTTCTCGTCTTCTGGCTGCTCACTTGAGAAGCCTGTTTGCTCTTGTTGGGAATGGCATACACAGGCTTTTTCAGGTCTGTTAAAACACAAGCGTTGCAGGTCAAAATGATCCATCCAGCAATCACTCTTCATCGACATCAAAGCTTTGAGGTGACATTCCCTATTGTTATGGACCAGAACAGACACCACACCCCCCGCACATCCCCCCACACACCCCCCCTCTCTCTCACACACACACACACACACACACACACACACACACACACACACACACAAAGTATGTTATGGAGATAGCCTAGACCCTAACTTTTAAATGTTTTACAAGTCACGTGAGGTGCCTTGTTCCAGATATATGGATGGTTTGAGTTATAAGGAGAGACTGGATAGACTGGGATTTCTTTCACTGGAGTGTAGGAGGTTGAGAGGTGATTTTATAGAGGTTTATATAATCATGAGGAGGTATCGTTAGGGTTAATGACAGGTGTCTTTTCCCTAGGATGGGGGTTTCAAGACTAGGGGGCACATTTTTAAGGTTAAAAAAGACATGGGGACAAATATTTTTTGCACAGAGGGTGTCTCAAGTGTGGAATGAACTTCCAGAGGAAGTGGTGGATGTGGGTACAGTTACAACGTTTAAAAGATATTTGGATAAGTACATGAATAAGAAATGTTTGGAAGGATTATGCGCCAGGAGCAGGCAAGTGGGACTAGTTTAGTTTGGGATTATTGTCGGCATGGACTGGTTGGACCGAAGGGTATGTTTTGGTGCTATATGACCCTACGTGATTCAACGAGTCCATCATTAAGCTTCAATCAAAACACATTTTATTCTGTTTACTGTTAAAACAGAACAAAAAGAAGAACCGGCACAATTTTTATTGAAATACTTTAACAAGATGACGCACCGTTTAGCAAGTAACCAGCAACTGTTCCAACATGGGCATCATCCTATAAGCACACCCTTTGGCAAAAAATACAATTCAGCAACACAGGTGTTATTTTCATCTGCTTTCTCTTCAGTCTCGCAGCAGAGAATTCAAACTTTCGGTTCCAGCAGCTAGCAAACCTACGAACTAACTGAAAGCAAAACTGAAGTCCTTTTTGGGTCTGTGTGAACCGGACCGTGCCCGCTCATGACTGCGTCGACTAACAGCCAGGGTAGAGCTCAAAGCTGTTCGCCAGCGCTCTGTCCGAATGATACACATGAAATCACTCCTCGGCAAGAGAAACAGCACAGGACACGTCTCTTGCAGGCGCAGTATCACCATACTACATACAAAGATACTATCTCGAATCCGGCTACCCAAGAACCAGTGAAACAGCCCCCTTGATCATGATCCCACCCCGAGCACCAAACCATCATCTCCCAAACCATCCACAACCTCATCCCCTCAGGTGACCTCCCACCCACGGCCTCCAATCTCATTGTTCCCAAACCCCGCACTGCCCGCTTCTATCTCCTTCCCAAAATCCACAAACCTGAATGCCCTGGTCGACCCATTGTCTCCGCCTGCTCCTGCCCCACCAAACTGATCTCCAACTATCTCGACTCCATTTTCTCCCCCTTGGTCCAGGAACTCCCGACCTATGTCCGTGACACCACCCACGCCCTCCACCTCCTCCAGAACTTCCAATTCCCCAGTCCCCAACACCTCATCTTTACCATGGACGTCCAGTCCCTCTACACCTGCATTCCCCATGCAGATGGCCTTAAGGCCCTCCGCTTCATCCTGTCCCGCAGGCCCGACCAGTCCCCCTCCAC